TCTTTTGGTACGAACTTGGTTGTCTGTACATCAGAAAATATATGTTTAAATGTTATGCGGTGTGAGTGAATATGCTAAAATCCAACAACAGGTATGTCTTTGGAAAGATTTATGAGTGAGGAAAATAGGTTTATTTATATACAGCAGCAACAGCCATTTGTTCTTTGAATGAAAAAGGTTTTTCATTTTGATTCAGATACTACGAAATTGCAAGAGTAACATATAAAATGCAGTTTATTTAGAGTTTAACATTTCAGTGTCAATGTCATTTAGTGTGACAGTGGCTCAGTGGTTAAAGCAGTGGTCCCCTAACCCGAAGGTCGGAGGATTGATTTCTGCTCAGATCAAGTCATGTCATTGTGTTCTTAGGCAAGACACTTCACCCACATTACCTAGTATGTAAGTGATGTGTGCATAAGTGATTGTGATGGCACAAATTGGCGGTTACCTCAGGGCAGCTGTGGCTACAATAGTAGCTTATCCACCGAGTTTGGTGTGAATGAATAATGACCACACTGGAGCGCTTTGTAAAGCACATTATGCTTAAAGTATAAGTAAATTTTAGTAAGTTCATTATTTATATAGCACTTTTCACAGACATTTGTCACAAAGACGCAAAGAGCATTATTCATGAACTACGTACATACCAGTGGTGATAAGCTACTATTGTAGCCACAGCTTACCTGGGGCAGACTGACTGAAGCGAGGCTGCCATGCCAATCAGCGCCATCAGTCCCGCTGACCGCACACACAAACACACACACACACTCAGTGAAGTGCCTTGCCTAAGGACACAACGACTGTGACTGGTGTGACCCTGTAGCACCTGTTTTTCCCAGTGGTCTCTTATCCAAGTACTTACCAGGTCCAGCCTTGCTTAGATTCTGAGATCTGACGAGATCAGGCTTTGACAAGCCGGTAAGGCATTTTAACCTACACATCCAACTCACAAATTACATTTTGAGCAATTTACAGTTTTAAAACAATTAGCCAACATAGAGATACAGTGGTAAACTCTGCAGCCTCACAGCAAGAAAGTCCTAGGTCCTTTTTACTGCTTACTGTTTTTAACTGTTTTAAATGTTAGAATGTCTTTCAACCACAACTGGGCTAGTTGAGGTCACGAAGATGCCTCTACAGTTTAAATTATCTTTCTTTTCCTTTCATAAGGTGGCAATGTTCAAGGACTCAACTGCTCATGAAGACAATATATGGAATTGTTTTGGAATTGTCCCTCAGCTTGATTTCTGCAGAACCAGAGAGCTCAGGTTTCTACAGAATAGATTTGAATGTCTGTGACTGTAACAGGGAACACCTGCCTCATTGAAACAGGAAGTGATGTCACCAATCCACAGGCGTCTCTCTTCTGTCGCATTAGCACATCAGAGTGCATTTCCTGTAATCGTGAAAGCTTCTTGTCTTTCCTGTAGACTGTGGGAGATCCCACGCCTGAATGCTTGCCACTGATGGCTGAGAAGTTTACACTTCTCAAGACATTTACTGTAAACACAACCTTGTTTACTTTAAACTTGACTGTGGCTTACATTGTTTCTATTTTTCTATTTAAGCTATGAAAGCCAAGATGGGTTTGGTTTATAGTAATAATGCATTTGTTTTAAAATTTAATTTGCTGCAGGAGCTTTATTCACTCTCTTCATACTGAAGCTGCTGTGTGGCTTTTTAGTGTGTATTATCCACTTCTGTTTATCCAAACAACCTCAAGCTACTGTGGAAAATTTTACTGCAAAGAATATCATTTGGCTATTTTTGTCCATGAAGGATTCTGACAACAACTTGACCTTGGCTGTTGCCTGTCGTGCGGAGCTGATGGGGTCAAAGTTCAAAGAGAGAGTTTAAAGCACATCATTTCTGGTAACCTCAAGATGCCTTTGTCTTTGTTCTGTCCTTTTCCTTGCACCGTGACACTGACCTATCTGAACCTTATTTTTTTACATTTCAGCACAATTTATGAAGAAGTTTTTTCTATTAAAACAAGCATTTAAATATTCAATAGCACCGCACTGATATAACTGGGTGATCAAGGACGAGTTTGAGTTTGAAAAGGCGCATTACAAAACACTGTAATTCACCTTGGGTCTCTGTTTCAGTGAATGTAGTTGTGTTTCCACTCAGGGACTCAAGTGTTAACCATTAGCACAGAGATGCCATCTGCACACGCCCCCAGCACAAACCAACATTCTACAACAGGCTATTCTGGGCTGCAGCAGCAATGGACAGCTAACCCTGCTCTGGCTATAAAAGACATATTAGCATAATGACTTTTAACTTTTTAAATTTTGCTGCTCTGTTACACAACATTAAATTACATGCAAGTATATTATTTTCCTTACTGAGACAATATAATTAAATATTCATTCTGGAAAAATGTAAAAATAAATAAAAGTAGCGTGTCCTGGATTGACACAGCAGCATCAAGCATCTGTTTGTCTCCATAGGGCCAGCCTCCTTCTTTTTAAAATCTCTTTTTCACCACAAGACAGTCCCATTTTACGATTAAAGCTGTCCCACTGAGAAGGAGAACAAAGACTTTGGAGATGCACCCAGATATCTGCCCATATTTTCATTATTTAATGTGCAGTGGGGGTTTGGTCCATAAAACAATGGAGGTTTAGCAGTAATTTATCCTAATCAAATGTAACTATTCAGTGTACAGTTATTCAAGTTGCATTCTAATGTCACAGGAAGTTTCAGGCTGCAGAGGGTCAGCAGTATTGTAGCCCACTTCCTATTTTGGCCCTACAAGATGCCACTGTTGATAACGGAAGCTCAAAATGGACAAAATTAGGTCACTCTGTGTTAGAACATAAAACTTGCAGCCTGTAGTGACCTATGTACTTCTGACTGTTGGTGATATTAAGAGGTCCATATTTTCTGATCTATGTTACATTATAGTGCTGTTTCCTCGACAAAACCTGGAGTTTTGTTTTGTTTTATTCACACATGTTAAACACACAAACCCTAGGCTTTGTTCTTCTCCCATACACTCTGTTCCACTTGTGTTCTACACCTTAGAATCATATGGATAATTTCAGATCCGCAGTTTCCGATCTCTACTCCATAACAGTAAAAGGTAGAGTTTCTGTTCAATTTATTTTTAATTAGCTTTTATTACAGTAAAGTTGTGATTATTGACTGTATACTTTATTTTCTAATTTAACGTTTCCACAACAACTGTATACAGCAATATTATAAATATTTGACCAATCCCCCTCCTCCATATAATCTTTACCTGTCATTTTGTAAAAACTTTTCATCCACTTGTTATAATCATAGTTTACAGTTTTGTTCATTTGGGGACAGTTGAAGAAGGTGACATAATTGAAATGGTAATTGGGGAGTATTATATTTAACTGATCTAATGAAAACAGCTAATGGTGGCTTGCGCAGTGGCAGTAGCAGCCCTGGCTCAGTGGGATAGTATTGATTTAGCAGCTTCTCTCATTTGGTGTGTTGACAGAAAGCAAATACATACAGTGGAGTTAAATGACGGCCATTACATTTGGTTTAGTGATTGTGCACTTTCCTGTTTACCTGAAGGGCTATTACACTGCAGCTCTAATCACAGCATAGGCTTTTATTTGGACAAAGTAAATTAGTTTTGAACTGTTTATGTCCCTGTCATTCAACATTTGCGTGTCAAGATTATTTATTTATTTTTGTCTTGAGTGAATGTTGTCCATGCACCACTAGACCTGTCATGATTTTGAAGCCAGATATGTGGCCATACCAGCTGGTCAAAGCCTGATCTCATCAGATCTCAGATGCTAAGCCAGGCGGACCTGGGTAGTACTTGGATGGGACCAGGTGCCACAGTGGGGTGCCACTGACTAAAACTGTTGTTGTGTCCTTAGGCAAGACACTTGACCCACATTGCCTAGTAAGACAGTGTTGTGTGCGTGAGTGTTGGTGGTGGTCGGAGGGTCCGATGGCGCAAATAAGCAGCCTCACTTCCATCAGTCTGCCCCAGCTGTGGCTGCAATAGTAGCTTACCACTGTTGAGTGTGGAGTGAATGAACAATGAACTGTAAAGCCCTTTGGGTGTCTTGAAAGGCACTATATAAAATCCAATTAATAATTATTTAAAAATTAATATATTGCTAATCTCAGTAAACCAGTTTTAAATAGACTGGGCCTGAGCAGCATGACATAATGAATCCATAAAAGTTACTTATTTAACCCTCTTCTGTTCAAATCTTGTATTAAAACTAAAATAACCAGAATCACTCCATTATTGCAAAGAAAGTGTACATATGATACTGAGCCCCAACATGCGATATATTGTTCCAGTATAGTGATTATCGTAACAGCCCTTTGTACCACAGACTCATGCTTTGTTCCCCACATGATTTTTCATAACATTCTGTCACCTCTTTCATACTGCTGCTATTGCTCTATTGATATTGTTGCCTGTTTACTCTGTCTTATAGCTTTACATTTATCAGTATAACCCCACAGCTTTTCAACTTGTCTTGATATCCCCATGACATTAAAGGGGGCATATTGTGCAAAAACAACTTCATACATGTCTGAGTAATACTATAAAGATTTTAGATGCCCTTCCTTTGAAAATGCATTATATGTAGGCTATTATATGATTAGCATTCCCAAGCTGCAGTGAAACAGACCTGCAGACTATTGAATTATTTTTTTCCCTTGCTGTTTTTCTCTGTGTATTTTTGTTTGCGCAAACTACAAATGTGTTAAAAAAATAATAAAATAAACTCTTCAGCATTTTCTGCAGGTCTCAAATAATAAAAATACTTAACACTTTCACTTTGCATAGTGTTCTTATCTCTTTGAATATCAGACAATGATGAGATCTTTGCTGTTCATGTTACAGCCATCTCCTCAGTATCAGATAGTGCTGACTTCATTATGTTTCTAACCACACATAACAAAACAGTAAGCATACATTTCCATTTCTTAACAGGATATTCAGTGGTGAGGGGGTTTCTGTCACTGTAGCCGCTGTTAGCCCACACGCTACATACAGGAAGTAAAGGTATAGGAAATCAGAAGCACGCTGTGTTTATAAAAAGTGTCCTATTTGTGGCCTATAGCGAGTCATTCACCACTGAGGCTTAAATCAGCATGGAGACACTACTTTTTCTATTTCCTCAATTCAACTACATGGCCCCAAAGGAGGAAGCCTATTTCAAAACGCTTGGGCCACAAGAGTTTCTGCAGGCGACAATGAAGGAAGAGTGTAGCAGGTTAGTATTATTGTATTTTCTGTTTAGCTTTTTAAAAACTTTGGATACTTAGAAATACACTTGCAGTATTTGCCATTGTTTCAAAATCTCAAAACATCCATGATCAGTTTCAAAGAGTACTTGAACCTAAATGTCGCTGTATCATAGTGTATCAAAATATGTTATGACAACTGCAGCTGATGCTGAAATGTAAATGTTTTATAGTTTCATGAATGTTTATGACAATAGTGTTTAAAAATTTAGTTTGCACTGTGTATGTATGTATATTTTTTGTATCAGTTGGTGAAGACAGTGCTCAATATATTTTCTTGCAGACATAAAGACAAGGAGCGAAAAAGCAGACTCAGCCTTTTTCTCACCAAGTCCGGCTCTCATGAAAATGTCAGTCCTCATAAGAAAACCAATACACCATCCAGAAAGTAAGATCCATTCATTTTGTATAGTGTCTAGTATTTTATTCATATCTAACCTTGCTATACTTACGGGTTGCATTCATGAGTCAGCTCATACTTAAATAAAGATCTGGATTTGATATTGAAGTAAATGTCAGAACATTATAACTGTATGTTTAGACTAGAGTTGACCTTATCTCTCACTTTTTTTCCAGCATCTCAGCAGAATCCGCTTTGAAATGGAGTGACTGCTTTGAAGAAGTCATGAAGGACTCAGGTTAGATTAACGCAGAATATTTGTTGTGTCGAGATCATTTCTGTGCACTTGGCCGTTTAAATGATTTCCTTTAAAGATAAGATAAATTGTGCTCAAACGTTGTCTGGGTTTCACTTCATATTTTTATTTTTGCTGTTGCCGCGTGAGTAAGAGAGAAACTAGGCGACTTCCTCTTAGTCTACACGAGTTGCATTTAAGAGTTACTTTGAAAGACTGTCAGCTTCTGTGTCCTCGTTTAAGAAAAATACAGGGCTTGCAACAGGGACGGACTGGGACTGGGGAGGGGGGGATTAATTTGGGAGATTTAAGAATTAAACAGCAAATCAGATTCACACTAACCCTAACTGGTAAAATGTTGTGTTTGACTTCAAGATGTTTTTCATTGAACACTGAGAAACGAACCCAGTACAACTTTTGTAGTGGAGGGTCTGTCAAATGCTTTTCTCCATGGAGGTGTTATTGCTTTGCCTAGAATGTTTCACAATATGGTATTAAAACTTTCTATCATCGTGGAAACCAAGCCAGGCCATGTTACAGATCAGATCTTTGGAGCAGCAACCCTTTGCGCTGTCTGAATGCTTGTTTTTCTAGGCATCTTTGAGTTACAAAACTGTCTACAATTGAATAAATGTAAGGCAGATCTGACATATTGTGGAACATTCTAAGCAGAGCAATGACATGTCCATAGAAACAAGAACATGACAGACCCCCAACCAAAAAGTGCACCTTTAATGTATGTTTCTTTTGGCCTAACATTATCTGCGTATCCACAGGAAGGGGTAAATTGTATTTTCTTCTCACCATTTATCTGTGCACATTTTGAAAACATGTTATTCTGTTGCAGATGGAGTGGAAGTCTTCTCTGAGTTCCTCAGGTCAGAGTTCAGCGAGGAAAACATGGAGTTCTGGTTGGCGTGTGAGGATTACAAGACCATTGACTCAGAGACAAAGCTGCTCTCCAAAGCCAAATATATCTACACAGTATTTATCGAGTCAGACGCTCCAAAAGAGGTAAAGTGAATTTATTTCTTACATTGTAGTGTACATTTAATTTGCACTGCCCCTGTGCTGTGGCATTTTGCTGTTTTTGCAAGACACTTTCAGTTTCCTATATGTAGGCGCATGTGACCTTGTCTGTGGCTTGGTCTAAATGCTGATTTTGTTTAGTGATAGTTATTTGTCAAAGTTGCAACATTAATACCATCTTTGCAGCTACCTTTGACAATACTATCCACTTCTTAAATGGTGCACTATATAACTTTTCTATTGGAGGTCCGTCAAATGCTTTTCACCATGATGTTATTGCGCTGCCCGAAATGTTCCACAGTATGACATAAACAGCTTTACCGTACATTTATTCAGTTACAGGTCATTTTATAGCCCAAAAATTCTTAGAAAATCAGGCATTCTGACTGTGAGCGGGGTTGCCTCTCCACTGATCTGACCTGTAACTTGGTCTAGTTTGGTCTCCATGTGGATAGAAAGGTTTAACATTCCAGGCAAAGCAATATCCATGAAGAAAAGCATTTGATGGGCACTCACCAGAAAAGTTACACAATGCACCTTTAGGTATATGATAGCAATAGCACAGAGTCTTGAGGCTATATTTTTATTAGTCTAGTTTAGTCTAACAAAGAAAGATGACTGGCCAGATGTTTGTTTTGTTCTTGAATGTTTTGCTTCTAAATATGTATTTTAAGTGTTGTTTTTGATCACAATTATGTTTTATTTTGCTGAAGGCTTATTGATTATCCAATTTGTTTTCTTTTCTCCTTCAGGTAAACATTGACTACAGCACCAAAATGGCCATTGAGCGGAGCATATCTCAGCCCACGAAGAGCTGCTTTGACGCTGCTCAGAAGAAAGTGTACACCCTGATGCAAAATGACTCATACCCCAGATTTCTGCACTCTGACCTTTATCTGCATTTGACCCGGAGGAAGGGTCCTGGGGGTCCCATGTTCCGCCGGAGGTCACGGTCCTGTGTGTTCAATGAGAGAGGTGAGGCCACATCTGGATCCTCGGCCTGGTAGAATTATAAGTGTTTGTAACTGCAGGCTCTAAGTGGATTATCTCACTGTTCACATATGACCCACGAAGTGTATCAGAATACAGCCACTCTCCAGAGAAAAGCTAAGACACAGTAGAGAACTCAAAAGGTCACCAAAATGTCTACATCGGGGCTTTAATCTAATGTTAATATCAATCCCAACTTTCAGCTTTAAGTATAATGCTAACTACAGCATCAGTCGCCTCCCAGGGCTTATTATTGTTGATTTAACCAACAGAAAGTTAGAAAATCAAACAAACTTTCAGGCATGAAGCAGCTGTGTCATAAGCTCTTGAGAAAGCATTGGAGCCAATCTAAAATACATGTTCAATCATTTTTAAGGGTTCTGTTAGTATAATTGTAATGTTTAAAGGTGCACTGTGTAACTTTTCTGGTGGACTGTCTGTGCCTACCTGTTTTTCTCCCTAGCGATTATATTGCTTTGACTAGCACAAAGCAAGGCAAAGGAATAGCACAAGCCATGTTACTTGTCTGATCTATGGAGTGGTGGACCTGCTCATTCTATTGTTTGAATGCATGTTTTTCGATATATTTTTGAGCAATAACAACATAATAATGAAAGTAAATAAATGCCAAATATAAATGTTTAGGGCCATACTTAGGAACATTCCAAGCAAAGCAATAACTTCTCTATGGAGACAAGAAAGTAGCAAACCCTCTGTGGAAAAGTTACAAAGTTATTCTGTATTAACATCAAAATTTAACTCCATTTGCATTTGAATCAGACTTCTCCTCTCTCTTTATGTACTGTATTTATGGACCATCAAATGAACAGATAAGGTTATTGTATTGTTGCAGTCCTTTTTGTCTTTTTATTTCCTTTATGAAAAAACTAGCTGTTTTGTATTATTTAAATTATATTGTATGAAGTATCTTCTCCACAGCTTTGAATTGAACTGAACCATATAAACTGTTGTCATATTGTTGGGAATGCTTTTCATTGACAATTATATTACATTTCCTATAGAACATGTATGTATGTAAGTGTACAGTATTCCCTGCAGTAATAACATGCACATATATACTATTGCAGTGTGGTGTATAAACCATATAACTACTGCTTTGTGCTCAAACTAATTCTAATGAAGCTTTAGTGCCATTAATTAGCCTGAATCACTCACACTAAATGTGACAAACGAGGCTATCATTATTACACCAGGGGAAAATTGAGTTTGTAGTGCAGACCCCCTTTTCTCTTATTCACTAAAGTGTGCAGATTTTATGAACTCCCACTTCCCCTGCTGGAAAAATCTATTCATCATACTCTGCCTTCCTACGTACAATGCAGCCAAAGACCTATTGTAATGTGTTTATACAGTAGGCTCTGCTTTACCTCAACAGAGATCATTATCACTATGCGCATGTGATCTTAAAGCCCACATTACAGTCATTCTGCAAACACCTGCACTACAAACCTCACTGTTCGCAATATGAATCAATAAAGACCCCAGGCCCCAATGCAAAAGCAGTGATCTTTTGTGAACAAAGATATACATGCTCAACTTTGAAACAACTGTGAATGAAAATGTGTTGGCAGAATTTAAATACCTTTAATTGTATGTTTAAGATGATTTGCACAACCTCAGGGGGTAGAAACAAAGGAATTGGAAAGCAGATTGCCTGGGGAACTGTAAGGAATATTTAATCATATTTTTTTGTAATCAGAATCTTGCTGTTATAGAATTTGGATATTATGGTTTTAAATTGGACTGACAACACTGAAGTTCTGTGCAGTAAAATGAGGTATAGGCCACTATAGATGAAGAAAAGAAAAAGCCCACACAAAGCTTCGAAAGCTTTAAAAAGCTTTGAAGGATTTTGGTGAGAGAATGGCCCCTGAAGTAAAAACCCTTTGATTGGAGTCTGGGTGTACACTATATCTTCACCGTAGTAAGGCACTAGTGTTGATACGTCTCAGAGGGATCTTATTAGGGACCAATGGCACCACCCAGTGTTTAATGAAAGAACTTCAATTGGACAGCACAAAGTCACAAGATTTTTTTGAGAACGTGCTTAGTAAGGCACAATGAAAACAAATATTTCCCTTTTCTGAAATCAACTCTTTTTAGAATTACTGTCTAAGCAGAGAATCAAACATATTTAATACACAGTGACACATGACGGATGCTTCCTGGCTGCATCTTGACCAGCAGTGCCTTCTTTGAAAAACAAATTGTTCAGTGTGGTGTGTCCGTGCATGCAAAAGAGCGAACCTGGGTGTTTTCCATCACCTGTCGTCATTTACATCGTTGGCCTGCTCTTGAACATGAATGCAGTAAAAACTGGACTCTGAGCTTTATCCATAACTATGAAGTCTGGAAAAGACTTTATAAGCTCTGATAGTGTCTGAAAGTTCTATCCGCCAAAACCTCAAATCTGGCAACACTGTATCAGGACCAGAGTATGTCTTGTAGAAAGGACGTTATGAATCAAAAGAATTTAGCTGTGCTTTGAACTTTCATGGAGGCTCTCCTCATTGATTTTTATGCCTTGTGAATGCACGTGCCTGAAATAAATGCATAAAATAAAAATTTTATTCCAGTGTTATTTAAGACATGTCACTTTAATTTATCAAATGTGTCGTGTTTTCATTGAAATTGTTCATGTTTTATTGTCAGAGCTTTCTAACTATTTATGTGCTCTGGAAAAGAGACAAGAAATCCTTACCAACCTTACCAATGTTACCATTTCTTGAAGCAAACCATAAAGACAAGTTTGCTAAAAAAATTTAACCAAACCTTATTCAGCTATTTTAGAACAGGGACTAGTACGTTACGTTTACTGAGTGTCTGTTATACCAGTTGCTTACCCCAACCCCAGAACACAGCAAAAAAGTAGAGAAAAGAAGGTCCTGGGTTCAAGTTCCAACCTGCACTGAGACACTTGGTGTGGAGTTTGCATATTACTGTATCTATGTAGGTTTATCGTTCTTTCAAAAACACATAGCAACACTATAATAACAACTCAAGACTTCTTATGATCTATGTAAAGCAAGTTCACTATACCAAGAAAAGACTTTTCATTAAATACAGAAACTGAAAAAGAGAGACACCCGAACTTTCAAAGTGCTGTGTGCACTAGAACTTGTTCTTTGCTGCTTGTACAGCACTTTCTAAACCTTGTTTTTGAAAGTGCTTTACAAATAAAGATTTATAATAATAATAATAATAATAATAATAATAATAATAATAATAATAATATTATTATTATTATTATTATTATTATTATTATTATTATTATTATTATTATTATCATCATCATCATTATTATTATTATTATTACTACTGTGGGCCCACCGAGATGATTTATATTATTTGAGTTTGGTGCTACACCGCTACAAGCACCTTATGGTAACCAGGTGAGGGCAGAGGGTGCAGTAAGTACTTGGACCAGTCTTCAGATCTGGATTCAGCATTGTGGTTAGTTGACGTTGTGGCTTTACCGAGCTCAAGGGTTATATCCATTTCGAGTTGATGGGGGAAACCAGAGGAAACCCATCCAAACATGGTTAAACATGCAAAGTCCAAAGGCCACACCTGATCAGGTGTGGTCTTGATATGTTGAGAGAATCTGAAAAGGAGAGTGAATGTCTGTGTTGTTCTGCTCTATAATGGGCTATTAGGCAGGATGTGGCCTGCAGTAGGTCCAAAGAAGTTGGGGTATTGGTGTATAAACTTGAATTAGACCTCTTTACTGTTTATTAGATGAGGTCAGCTCAAATCACTGCACGCGTGTCTCTGGGTGTGTCAGGGTTGGGAGGATGCCCTGTCTCTGTAGCACCAGGTCTTTGCATACAAATTTCCATATATTCCATCGATGTTGGGGAGGGCCAGAGGGGCTCATTTAGATTTGCTCTGTCACTTGACTCTGACTCATTTCCAAACAATCACAACTCCATCTTCAGACTGGCGGGATCTTTTAGTCCTTCTCCCTTCGTAGAGGAACACGAAGATGGCAATAAAGTGAGTTTCTACATCTTTGATTATTGGGCCCTTTACCATTTTGAGCAGCCATGTGGAAATTCTCAAAGGAGTTCACTGTAAGTTAATATTGCACTATTTTATCAGTAAATGGAAGAAAATTACTCAAACAGACTATTAATACCATAATGTGATTGGCTTGGTTTACTTTTTCTTACGGTCTTGTTATGTTGAGGAACTGAGCTAGTGATACTACTGCTCTTTTCAAGGGTAGGTTGTGTTGCTTTCCCAAGGATCCACTTGAAGATGTTGAGAGTTGGAGTGAGTCAGTTGACAAAGTCTTGGGCTGTAAAGGTAAGAAATAAGCACGCCCTAACACAAACCATATATTAAAAACATGACTTTTCAAGACTATTGCGTTTGTTTCATAGCTGGACAGATAGCTTTCCAACAGTTTCTGAAATCGGAGTACAGCGAGGAGAATATACTGTTTTGGCTTGCATGTGAAGATTACAAAAAAATTAAATCAGCACCAGAAATGATATCCTCGGCCAACCGGATTTACTCAGAGTTTGTGCAGACAGAAGCGCCCCGACAGGTAAGATATTTACATAATGATATATATATTTTTAAAATCAGTAAAATTCATCATAATTGTTCTAATTTCAGATCAACATAGATTGGGGCACCAGGGAAAGCATAGGCAAAAACATCTCACAGCCCACCTTGAATTCATTCGACACAGCTCAGAAACTGGTGTACAGTCTGATGGCCCGGGATTGCTACCCACGCTTCCTCAAATCTGACATCTATCAGGGACTGCTGAGGAGAAATGAATCCAGGTGACTGTTTCAAACAAGAGCCGGCTAAATATTAACAGTCAGCATGAGTTTTCCTGTACTTCTGCCTTCGCCTATTCTGCTGTAGCACCCTTTTATTCCAGTGTGGATAACAGGTTTATGCCATACAACTCCATGTAGTGTGACTCAGTAGACAGACACCCAACACTTCAGTGGAATTTGTATGTTGTACTGTATAATTATTCCCCCTATACAGGATCATTTCTGTTTGTAAAGTATTATCTACACCTTTGATTGAAGACTATAACTATAACTTCTCTTATATCTCTGAAAAATTAATATTTTACAAATTATTAAATAAACGAGTGTATTGTTAAGCATGTATCATGTTGTCATTGTTGTCAATGTAACGCAGTGGGTGTGGTTCTTTTTGAATGTCATGCAAATAACTCTTGGATTTTGGGTTTAGTTTGTCCCATAAACCCTAGGGGGCAGCAGAGGTAATTCACTAGTCAAACATTGTTGGGAACAGTTAAATGGGCATGCAGAATTTGTTGTCCAGATTTCATAACCATGACTTACCTGTTTTCCCAGATATGTGGTACAAATCAAACATTGTTGTGCTGATAACAGTTGTAATGTTGATTTACAAAAACCTTGGACATGAGGACCAAGTTGGTTAAATGTTAGAATGTGGTGTTTTGGTTCACAGCACGATCACAAAGCAAAAAGAGCCTCACATTTGGGTTGCCAGTTCCATAAAATAAAATAAAGGTAAAATAGGTTTAAAATTAAAAGCAGTATCTATGATCTGAATCCTCAAGTGCAGTCAATCATTAATCAGTGCTAGTTCAGAATCTGAGTGGACTCTGGAGAACATAATAAAAAGTGTATATGTGTCATCTATATGCACTGGCATCTTAAGTATGGATGTGACTGTAGCTCCTTTTTAAAGTAGAGAAGAGCTCAGGTTATAAAGTAAAAAAGTACAGAAAGAGAAACCTGTTAAAATAGGAACTCGATCTAAAGGCCCAACAAAGGCACAACCTTAGTTTTTCCTCAAGCATAATTTTCCAAACTGGATTCAAAACATATACAGCAACTACATATTATTGTTATGTAACCCTATGGTTTATTCCCAGAAAAGGATGTCCAGATGGTATTTTCTTCTTCCAGCAGTTTCACTGTATTCAAATCTAGATGAGAGCAGAGACTCACATAGAGCATAATGTTTTATTCAAATGAGATTCAAAGTAATAAAACAGCCCTTACTTCCTTTTACATGATGTGCATGTCACTGCTGCCGACTGTACAGGTCATTTTGTGTTTGATTGGTTATTGCAAATACAGACGACTCTGCCACAACTTCCTCTGCTTTTGACAACGCACTACATTCACCTCTGTGTGGTTCAAACTGCTGCAGTGCCCCAGCGGTTATGAATGAAAACTACAGATGCTATTGAACGTGACTATGGCTCCTCAACTGCTGTTTAGAGGATTTATTTATTTATTTATTTATTTATTTATTTATTTATGTGATCAATTCTTATATCAATTGTCTTTTATGTTGTAGAAGAAAAGTTTGGAAGGTTATCATCATTAAAAACTTAATTTACCAAAGAGAGTGTCAACCATACATACGTACACACACACACACACACGCACATACATACATACATACAAACATACTCATGTTACTTTGTATTTAAAATATTTGGAAAATATAGTAGCAGATAGAAACTGTTGTAATTTCCTAAACTGGAAAATGTTGCTGCTAGTCTACTCTGTACTGAATCCACTATGCTTATCTAGAGCAGCTGTTTCCTGTACTTTTAAAGAAAGCTTAACTTACAATTTCACTGTTAAATAAAAAATAAGAAGTATTTAACATTGACAAAAACTCCACTGGCCCATTTGCATTTTGACATCTAAACAAATGTACAGCTGCATACGTCAGCACAACTTCCTCTTTTTCTGTGGTTAGCTTAAAATGATACCATGACACCGCATACCAACTTCATTTCAGTTTCTGCATATTTAAGTTCCATTACTGCCACAGATAGACATTTGGTGTTGGGCAGACCACTGAAGCCATGTCCAGCTCCAGTCCGGTTTGGGGGACACAGATTTTGAACAGAAAGATAAAGAAAGCCAGGTAATATTTTTTGTATGAATTAACGGGTGATGTTTATGTTACCTTGTTTGCTTCCTGAAGTTCTGAGACAGGCCTCTGCTCTGACAGAGTTTGAATCTAAGCTTGAAATGATTGTGCCTGCACTCTTCTCTTTCCACTGTAGTGTAATTATTTATATTTTTTATTTCTGATATATGTTTTCATTGTTATTTGAAATATAGCTTTAATTTACTGTTTTGATTTTCTGTAAAACTACTTTGGGTACAAACTATGCTTTGTAACACTTACAAAATTATCAACTAAAATTTACTTCACAAATTCTATATTAGGGATAATTCAGGCTTAGTAACTACTTAATTAATAGCGTAACCAATCCCGGGCCCTTAATGAAGTAGTTAAGTAAAACTAAGTCATTCTTAATGAAATAATGAAAATGTGTTTGTTATTATAAAGTATTGCTCTACAAGTTTAAAGCTTTATTAAACCTGTTCCAGGCTTTGTTTTGAGGATCTGTCCCAGTGGTCACATTCACTAGAAAAACTTCTAGCATCCAAATGTAAGTTAATCTTATACAAAGTGACTGCACAACACATTCAAATGATTTATGACCAAAACCAGTGCTTTCTGTTACCTAGATGGGCTAAAGATCTTCCAAGCCTTCCTAAAGTCTGAGTACAGCGACGAAAATATTGAGTTTTGGTTGGTGTGTGAGGACTATAAAAAAATAAAATCATCTTACAGGATGTCATCCCGAGCAAGAAAGATCTTCAAGCGCTACATTCAAGTTGAAGCTCCAAAAGAGGTACTAATATCACTCATCTATATTAATGACCAGTTCATGTGTGTGTTCACTTTTAATACATTACTGTTTCGTCTTCATTTTCCTTACAGATCAACATTGACCAGAAAACACGAGAGACAATATGCAAAAATATTGCAGAGCCCCTAACCACCTGTTTTGACGAAGCACAGAAAATAGTATTTGGTTTAATGGAAAAGGACTCATACCCACGCTTCCTCAGGTCAAGCCTTTACAGAGCTCTCATTGAACCTGCATAACTGTCAGTGAAGTGAAATGAGGACAATAATGTAAATACTGCACAAAGGGAAAATCTATGGAACTTTTTAGCATAAAAAAGTCACCTGTGTAAATATCTAAACTGACTTGGAGTTTTGGCCAAAATGTGAAGCAACATTTGCACAATATTTGCATTTTCATATTGTGATTAGGCAGGTGTTTGTTTACAGAGGAAATGTGAACATGGTTATGTTGTGTTCTTGCTAAGCTAAATGCATTAAACAGTTAGGATTGAAATGAAAACATTACTTTCAGAGAGGGTATTACACAAACAATCAAGAAGTTGGTGAATGTTTTATTGGTCGTTTTCCGATTTTAGAAAGAAAGATGATATCATACTCTTAGATGGGGCGAGAGCCAGCTGACCCTATTGATTAGCCTATATGATAATTTAATTACAAATGTCCAAAATGTAAATTCAGTTTTGCAGAAGAATTTATTGCACAGCTTTCTTTTTTAAGGCAACTGTTACTTTGTTCAAAATATGTTAAAGAGCAAGCATATTGTTGTTGGTTAGTGGTCATGTTATTTTGTCATGACTAGTGAATCACCCATGCTTTAGCAGCGTACACATAAAACATTGATACGTTTTTTCTGAGCAGAGAGACCACAGAGCTTATAGAGCCAAACATGTGTGCATCACCTGTTACACTGATAAAAACTGAGACTGATACACTGAAGAAGGTCTAGAGCTGGAGTTTAAAACTGTGACCAGTCATCACAGTCTGACCCCAAACTCACTCAAGTCCAAATGCTCAAAGTAATGGATTTAACCACCCCTGAGGAACCATACAAAACATAATAGCTCTCTAGATCAATAACCTACAGCAAGGGACCATCAAATGAAGTCTTAACTCTTTAACCCTATGTCCAGTCAATAATCATATCATTTTTGCATTGTCTTCCTATGACCTTTTTGTATATAGCTGAGATTTTATATTTTATTACTTATTTTTCTATTTTATTTTGACTTGTACATATACATTTACATAATTATGTCTTATTTGACACCTGTCTCTCACTATCTTTTTGCTACTTATTTAGAATTTATTAAATTTATTATTTACAATTTACATGTTTTCTCTTTGTTATTATATTATATTATGATGTGAGCTACTGTGTCCAAATAATTTCCCCCTTTTCCCGTCTTTGACAACAGTGTAATTTGTTCTTTAGGTTACACTCTTAAACCCAATCAAAAAGGACCAAACACAGCTTGCACAAAAATAAAATGAACAGAATATGCTTTATTTGAGCATTCAGACTTGGCCACCTCTTGTAGCCTTCTCTTGAATTGAATTTTCAATGATTTCATTTGGTTTGTGCCTTATTTACACAGACAAATGTGATGGCACTAAATGAAGACTATAGGCTATTTGCGTTTTCTTTTATTCTCTCTCCTAGATTGCATTACATCTACAGTCCACAGTTTTTCCATTCACTTTGGCATATACAGCAAGAAATATCATTTTAAGTTCATATGGGGAAAAGATGGATTCATTGTATTTTTGACTTTTGGAGTCAGCAGAATGCTCTGGTAAAACATCATAAACTATAAAAGTAATTTATTGTCACTATAATTCACCAATTAGCAAAGGAAAGTTATATCCTTAGACTGTATTGTTTTACATCCTCGAATCATGAGCGAACGCCTTGTTAAATACTGTCATCTAGAGGAGAAGCAGAGTAGAGCACCACACCAGCCCTGTATCCCAACATGCACTGCGCCTCTGCCTCTGCTGACCAGTGACCACCGTCCGGGAGGAGGCCTTTCTCATTTAACTTCATTGTTTTCTCCGGTGGTATTTAGGTAAGTTATTGTTGTTGTTGTTGTTGTTTTTTAATGCGTTATTATTTTAAAAACCAACCCGCCGTCAGTATTATTCGTTTACGTGTAAACTGGTACTTTAGTGTAACTTAGTTGGATCTTAAATCCTTCTTCAAGTATGCAAACAAATAGCTTGGATTTCTTTACGCCACATAATTCCATAATTCCATTCCATTGAGAAAACATATTTGTGATATTAATTCTTCAGGGTAAGAGTCTATAAAACTACCAAATCATCTATATCATAGCCAACTAGTTGGCAGCAAACTCGGTCAAGCTAGCACTGATTTGATTCGTGATGTGGCCATGGGGAAATCATTTTGCAGACCGCTCATTTCACTTGAGCTGAGATGAGTTTGTGGCATGTGCATCATCGATGCCTCTAATCCGCTCAACTATTTCTGTCACTGTATAAAGCTAACCGCAAGTGGTTGCAAATGCCTCGATACACTCAGTCATGGTCTATGTTTTAAAGGTCCTATATAACACCAAACTGATGCTTGTGAGCTTTAAACCATGTTAAAATGTGCTCAAAAACATACCCGGAATTCTATTTGAGTTTGAGTAATCCTTTATTAGTATGTCTACATCTCCAAAGTTTAAAATGCGCTTTTCCACCTTGTGATCTCATGATATCACGTCGTTGTTTTCAACTTAACAGCTTTTGTTCAGTATAGATGGACAATACCAGGGGTACAATTATCCTAAAGATTCTAGTGGAGGTGTATGGTGTTTAAAACACAGTGGAGCACTTTCTGTATTACCACAAGACATCACAAGACTGGGCCAGAGTGTTTTCCATTTAAGAGAAGAACACAGCCTAAATATGCAGGGTCTGTGTGTTAAACATGTACATGAAACAAAACAATACTTTGGATGTATGTATGTACGTACGTACGTATGTATTTATTTTGAAGAAAAAAAATTAAGAACAACAAATTACACAAAAGAAACAAGTAGTCCTATGGTTTACTGTAAAAGCAATGCATTCATTAGTCTCTTTGTGCATGTAGGCTTTCAAGTCCATCATGAATACATACATATTACATAAGATATCACACACATCATGTACATTAATTTGATCATAATGTACTATGATGATGATACATGATACATAATGTAACTAATAAAATCTATGTCAGGTATCAAAATGTATATGTCCTTGTCTGTCTGTCTGTCTCTATATTGCGTTTTATTATTTATTTTATTTATTATTGATATCTACGTACATTTCATATCTATGTGTGTGGTATGTGTGTGTGTTTTAGGCTTTTAACTGCAGTTCTTGGGAAACCCAATTTTGATCCCCCTGTGTAATGTCTGTTACATGGTGGAGTTGACAATAAATTTCACTTTACCTTTATCTTATCTTTAGATTTGCAATGGAGAAGACCAACCACAATGTGAAGGCCCACCCATGGGAGGTGGACGACAAGGCCCGACTCTGCCGGTTTCTGTGTTATGGATCAGAGGGGGATATTTACACAGCTAGAGAGGAGGTGCAGGTGAGCAGGGAAAGTGCAGAGGCTCTACTGGCTCTGCTGGAGGATGGCAAAGGAGCTGAGGTGGTGGAGATCATCGCCAGGTACAGTCAGGAGGGGAGAATTGTCTCTATGGGTCCTTGTCTTTTTGCACTGGCAGTGTGCACACAACACTCTGATGTAAAGACGAGGCAGGCCGCATTCAAAGCATTAAAGGAAGTTTGCCAGGATCCTGTGTATTTGTTTGAGTTCATGCAATATAAGAAGGAACTTAAGGACACAAAAAGTGGAATTTGGGGGCGTGCCCTTAGAAAAGCTGTCTCTAACTGGTATAATGAACAAAATCCTATGAATCTGGCAGCATCCGTTGCAAGATGTAAACAACAAAATGGCTGGTCTCATCAGGATCTCCTTAAGCTGTCCCATACCAAACCAGCAAATGATGGTTAGTGTCCAGGTTATTCTACAGCAAATGTTTCTAAACACTTTTACTGCTTTCTGTAACTTTTTCTTGACATGTGACATGTTTTCAGGCGTTGCATTGGTTTGCAAATATATAATGAAAGGGTGGAAAGAAGTTAAAGCTGAATATGCTGACAGAGAGAATCCTGAGGAGGTGCTGGAAGTCCTGTCCTATCTGGAAATGGTGGAGAAAGTCAAGCACAGCAGTGATGAGACAGAAGTCATCACTATGATAGAGGAGCATGCATTAGAGAGGGAACAGCTGCTGACCCACCATTTAAAGTCCAAACATGTAAGTGTAAAAATGTATCTATATTTTTGGTTTCTGCATTCCTTCCAGTTGGTGCAAATGCTAATGATACACTTTGATGGGACAAATGGGATAGTATCATAGACCGTATGTATGAGTGGACGTAGCTAACACACTAGCAGCCGCATGCCAAATAGGAAGTTCGCCAGGAGGCTCTTCCGGCACCTCCTGACCCTGACTCTAATTGACTTACATTAGGATCTTGTCGCCGCTCTCTCTGTAACTGCTGCAGTGAGCCTCGTAATTTTTTTAAATGTTCGTACTAACTCACTCTACATGATCCTAGAATTTTTTTTTCTGCTATTTTGTCCCTCAAAAAAATCCTAATCATAAAATAGAGCCTGGCTCCAGATTCTCTGCGTTAGCATTGCAAGACTCATTTGAGCGGCGCTGAGCGCTATGGGTGACGCCACACTTCTTTTATACAGTCTATGGATAAAATATGATATAGACATACAAGCATTGGTATAGATATGTTTTTGTATTTGTATATTACGACTGTGCTCTAAAAGGGGGGAGCAAGGGGGCAGTCCCTTAACTTACTTGCTTGAACCAAGCGTGAGATCCTGTGCAGGAGTCTTCTTAACTGTTTTCAGCTAAGTGCCTCTCCTATGTACCTGTTGCCCAGTCAGGTGCACAGAATCTATACAGAAACAAGTATTTAATTATATATTAAAAACAACTTTTCTGTTTCAGTTTAGCTTTTTTTAATTTATGTTTAATTTACAGTAGGTGTTATTTTCTCCTTTGGTCACAGGTATGGAAAGCTTTGTTGAAGGAGATGCCTCTTCAGTCATTGATGAAACGTTTAGGAAAAATGACAGCAAAAAGAATTCTTGAGCCAGGAAGCTCTGAAACACAGGCAGTTTGTGACCGTATCCAGTCTGACGCAGTCCTTAAAAAAGTAAGGCCTGTTATGTTTTTTTATAATTGCATTTATTAGATATACAATAGTACAAGTAGTTGTGCTTCAGTATTCACTTGTACTTAAGCAAAGTGGAATTAGAAGTAATGAAGCTAATTGTAGTTGCCCTAAAAGGCTCTGACCTGTACTATAAACCTGATGGAAATGTGTTATGTTTTTCTTAATATATGTTTGCCCAACAGGCCCGAATCCATCCTTTCAGTATCCTTGTGGCTTTAGAAAATTATAAAAAAGGACAAGGCTATCAAGGTAAAACAAAATGGGAAATAGACAGCAACATTGTCCATGCCATGGACTCTGCATTTTATAAAAGTTTTACGGTACATGTTTTTGATTATACAGTAATGGAGAATTGGACATTTTTATTGTAACAACAGTGTTCAAACTGTGTTATTATTTTCAGTATTTGGAACCTTTGGATAAGAACTTTGTGATTGCTGTGGATATTAGCACGTCCTTGAGCAGTATTGTCCCAGGGACATCTGTGAGCACTGCTGTAGCTGCAGCTGCAATTACCATGGTACAAACTTTTTTTGTTATGCGATGTACTGTTTTTATTTCTTTTACTTTTTAAGCCCATAGTCACTTCTGTTTCAAAGATTAATGTGTGCATATTTTATTGCTCTACATCAGTACAGGACAAAAAAAAAGTAAAAAAAAAAATAAAATGCACCTTTTTCCCCCAAGGTTTTTGCATCAACAGAGGCAAATACACAGGTTCTGGCCTACTCTGGTGGATCCCTGATACCATGCTCTGTGGCAGCAGGCATGACACTAGAGCAAGTAACAGCTGAACTAGTAAAGGTAAAACATCAAGTTATTGATCAAGTTAATAAATGCATGAAATACTTGGAGTTTGACTTACATAATTGAAATGTTTCAGACCCCAAGTGAGAGTACAGACTGCACCCTCCCAATGGCCTGGGCCACAGAACTCAAAAAAGCTGTTGATGTTTTTATTATATTGACCAACAACCCAATTTGGGCTTTTAGGGCTAGCCCAGTGGAAGCTCTAACAAAGTACAGACAAGTATGTTATTTCCCATTCTCCTGTGTCAGTAATTTAGTCCAGCTCTGGTCTTAGCCCAGGTCTATACTATGTAAAACTTATCTTCTAGGCCTGCTTTTTTTCTACATAATTCCTATTAGTCCTAATTCCTAATTAGTTGTACAGAATAATTTCTCAAATTTAGCATATCACAACTAGATTCAACTCAAGACAACTTTGAAAAACAGTACACTAACTTTTTCCTTTTCTTGTTCCTGAAAATAGAAAATGGGGACCTTCTCAAAGTTTGTGATGTGTGGGCTAACATCCATTGGACATGCTGTTACTGATACGCCTGACCGTGGTGTCCTCAGCATCTGTGGATTTGACCTTGGTGCAATAACACTAATTCGGAACATGGCCCAGGGTTTCATTTAGCACTTGTCGTCATTTAGAGAAAAAAATGGACCAAAGTGGCCCTTTTAAATGTATGGGTAACTCAGTAGGCTGTATTTACTCATTTAATCAATAATATTACATTAATAAATAAAGGTTTCCAGCGGGCTGGACCACTACTGAAATGTAGTTTCAATGTTTTTTCTAACAGGAAATGTGTTCTCAAACTCAATTGAGAGTTTCAGCTTGAAATGTGCGAATATGAATGTATCAGTACTTTTGCTCAATGCCAAACTGTAGGTATTGATACTCTAGCTAGCAGAATAGTTAGACACTTTTTGCAATAAAGAATGCACTTCAAAACCCTACTAAATGTCCTCAATTGGCTTGAGCAGTTCCAAAAAAATGTATCATACAAACAAGTACAAATGGTGTTGGTATTTTATTTTTTTCTGTGTATTGGTCTTGGCATTAGCTTTGGCAACAGCACTGGCCCAAAGCATGGTCAATCCCTGGCCAAACATTTTTTGTAGTGGTGACAGAGTGGCGATATAGCAATCTTATAGTTTTTTTTTTCTTTTTTCTGTATTTGTAGTATGAATATGACAGTTGATATATGGTGTGTTAGGTCAATCAACAGAACTGGTCAGAAATGTAGGCTACTATCTACTAAATGTACAGCGTTGTTTTGCTGCATCAAAACTAATCTGCATTTGCATCTATAGATATAGTTCAACAGTGTCATGCTTTTAAAAATTTTATGGTTTTCTTTATTTCTCCTGAATACCATCGGCCAAATGTCTTTATAGCAGTACTTTGCTGTTGTTTATACAATCTATCCATTTCACAATTTTCAAAAATTGGTTTTAAGCCTGAACTTATTTGCATACAAGATTTATTTTTTTTCTCTCAACATTGCTTTGTTACCTTGTAATCTACATTTTGGCATGTGTGCGTTGTCATTGACTATGCATTGATTGAGAGCTACTGGTTTGTTTGTTTGTTTGTTTGTTTTTTAAACAAACTTTTCACATCAAGTAAAGTAGCCTATCACCAGGGTTAGTCTCTCTTTGATGTCGATATTTAATGTATTACCAATGTATAGGCTACATGAAATTTAAGCAATTCATCTAAAATAAGTTTAAAGTGCCAGAGAATCCTCAGTATACAGGCCAGTTTGAAAACACTTGTATAAGAATCGTGTGTTGGCATTAAGTTAATAAAGCCATTACTTTTCTCATTATTTTCCAGCATTTTATTAAATGTAGCCTTTTGGAAGCCAGATGTAGGCTAAGAGCAATGACATAAGAAAGTTGAATAACGTTATGTATTCAAACCTGGAAAAAGAAAATGGAAAAGCATTTTCATTTCCAGACTAGCCTACTACTTAACAGCGTGACTTATTTTCTATTAAATAATGAAAAACTTAAATGCAGATGTAGACTTTATTGCTTAATCAAACGAACCCTTGACCGCGATTCGCACTCGGTCTCATGGTCAAGTCATAGATCTGCAAACGTTCAGGGGTCTTGTTGAAATACGGACAGGCACTTTACAGGTCACACCATGTTGTTAACTGGGGTCCTCTCAAACACACCACAAGACAAGTGAAGATGGCGGACGTGCTGAGCGTTCTCCGTCAGTATAACATCCAGAAAAAGGAGATCGTCGCCAAAGGAGATGAAGTTATATTTGGAGAATTTTCGTGGCCGAAAAATGTTAAGACCAACTACATAATTTGGGGGTGAGTCGTTTTTTTTCAAATATGAATGTATTTGGTTAGCCTTACCAGTTAGCCTACAAGCTGTATTGGAAGAACGACTGCGTTGTATGCAAGCCAAACAACTCTGCGCAGTTGAGCTACGAAGTTGAGAATTGTTGTGTATTTGACAGAATCTCTGTTGGACATTACATATTATCAGACAGACACTTAATGCAAGCCATTGTGCATGTTGATTTAAAATCATTCTATTATCAGATTAAAAATCAATATTTAAAGTTGCAGTGAAATCTGCAAGTAAAGTTTATCATCCCAAGATCGTGGGTTTTAAGTGGATTTTATAAAGTTTTGTCTCATTATCTCCTGCTATATTCTAGCAAAAGTCAGAACTGGCCGTTTAGATGTTCCCAGCTGTCTTAGTTATTTGGTTGTCATGTTGCTTGATGAAATTCTGTTGCACTTTGTTCCCCTTATGTTCTTCTCTCCAGAACCGGTAAAGAGGGACAACCAAAAGAATATTATACTTTGGACTCAATCTTATTCTTACTCAACAATGTGCATCTTCCTCACCCGTCATATGTGCGGAGAGCTGCCGTAAGTCATATTTACTGTCACTGAAAGGACAACTGTTTCTAAGCCTAAAACATAACCAGTAACAATCATCTTTTATAGACTGAGAATATTCCTGTTGTTAGGCGACCTGATAGAAAGGGCTTACTGTCCTATCTCAATGGCGAAAGCTGTAAGTTCTTTACTCTGAAAGTTGTGCAGTTCATGTCTTCTTAACAGGCATACATGCAAATACCTGTATTTTATTTTATTTTTTCCAGCTACATCGACAAGTATTGACAGAAGTGCACCCATAGAAATTGGTTTGCAAAGGCCAACACAAGGTAATTTTTTTTTTAGCTATTGATGATGTATGTTTGTGAGCAGTGATGATGAGCATTTTCTTTTTTACAGTAAAAAGAGCAGCAGATGAAGTATCTTCTGAAACAAAAAAACCTAGAATTGAGGTAAAGAATTGTAGTAATATGGCTAATCTTTTGGTATGTTTTAGGATTGATCATCAGGAAATCAGGACAATTTTTTTTGTACATTTTTTATGTTCCAAGGATGAAGAGCGAGTACGTCTGGACAAAGAGCGCTTGGCAGCTCGTCTTGAGGGACATAAGGAAGGCATTGTACAGACAGACCAGATCAGGTATGAATACTGCTTATTTATCCATATAAATGTACTGTATAAAGTAGAATCTAAATTATTCAATAATGTTTTCCAGATCATTGTCTGAAGCCATGTCTGTGGAGAAAATCGCAGCCATCAAAGCCAAGATCATGGCCAAGAAGCGTTCCACCATCAAAACTGATCTGGATGATGACATTACCCTGAAGCAGAGAAGCTTTGTAGATGCAGAGGTGGATGTCACCAGGGATATCGTGAGCAGAGAGAGGGTCTGGAGGACCAGGACAACCATTCTACAGAGCACTGGCAAGGTTTGTGTACATCTGTTACTATAGTTTAACTTTTAATAAGAAGTATTGGACTTATTATGGAAATATTATTTTTTTCATCATAGAAATCTTGATTATTATTTATTTATTTTAAAAGTATGTCGCAATTTTAAAATTTAAGAGAACAAAGATTAATAAATTGTGGTTTATCTAGTTAGTTCCTAACTGCTCCAGCTTTTTCAAGCACTGAAACCCCTACAAGCACATGGAGTGTACTTCAGAGTTAACATAATCAAGATTTGCTAATAAATTATACACTTTTTGTAATAATCAGGCATAATCAAGCTAGGCCTGTCACAGTAATTACAATATTGACTTATCATTCAATACATGACTGATGGAACAATATATTTTTGGGCTCAGTTTTTATTGTGGTTATTTTTTCTTTGCAATAATGGGGGAGATTTTAGCCATTTTTATGTATTATGATAACATTTGAATTTAGAGGGTTGAATAAATGACTGCTATGGCTTATCGGTTCATTCTACTATTTATTTTTTTGCAGCTCAGGCTTCTTAATTATACTGTCTCTTTAAAAAATGGATTTACTGGGATTGTCCTGATTTGTGTCCATGGTATAAAGTAGTTTCATATAGATGTGTGTGTGTGTGTGTAATATATTAATTATATATACACATTTATATAAATTATATATACACTATATATATATATATATATATATATATATATATATATATATATATATATATATATATATATATATATATATATATATATATATATATATATATATATATATATATATATATAATAATATATTATTAGTGCTTTAAAATGTTATTGTGGCAGGCCAAAATCACGCTGAATTTATTTATTTTTATTAGCTATTAATACATTATTATATATTTTTATATAATATATGACATTATATATTATGTGAGCTACTGTTTCCAAATAATTTCCCTTGTGGATCAATAAAGTTTAATTTCACCAGCCTATTTTAGTGTTTAGCCACCAGATGGCAGCAATACAAGTGAATCTTGGGGTCTAGTTCAGGTATGCCTCTGCTGAGGAAAAAATATCAATGTTTAAGATGTACGTCATTTTGTAAAAGGAAAAGTTCATTGTTTGTTCACTCCACACCTGGTGCTGGTAAGCTTATTTCTGTAACCACAGCAGCTCTTGGGGTACACTTGATGGAAGCAAAGCTGCCAATCTGCACCATCTGCCCCTCAGGCCAACACATCATAGCCACTAATACAAAGTAGGAAAAAACTGAGGCACTCAAAAAGTACAAAATAATTAAAAGCCTTTAATACCACATGGCAGATAAAGTTAAAATCACGCCAACATGTTTTGGCCCTTTGGCCTTCACAGGGCAAACTCGAGATGGATATCACAGAGCAGATTTTAAGAAATAAGTGTAGGTCACATGTTCACAGTGGGCATGCAGGCTGAATGGATTTTTACTTACAAGCCATTGAAATTCAAATATAATACAAGTTATAAAAAGTACAAATCTCAACAACCAATATATAGAAATATACATAGTATAAAAAGATACACAGTATAAAAATATATATATTGCAAAAATTCAAAAGTGTTACAGTTTACAGTTTCATGGAGACAAAGGTGTAAAACAAACCCACTTATTCCATCATTCTGTATGCTCCCAAAGGTACATAAAATTATAGAAAACCGACCAGGGAGGCCCATAATTAGTGGGATTGAATCACTTACAGAACCGTTGGCTTAAATACATATTTTCATATTAAACCTTTTGTCAATAGTTTGCCTGCCTTTATCCAAGACAGTACTCAAGTGTTAAATAAACTGAACCTGATTAAGAACATTGGAGGAGGATATCTTGCAACTATGGATGTAGAATCATTATACACTAACATTGGTGACAAAGATAGACTAATGGCACTGGAACATTACCTAGAAAAGAGGACTCTAGAGACAATGCCCCCTGCTGGATTTATATTAAAACTAACAGAATGGACATTGAGAAATGACATCTTTCTCTTTCAGCAGCAATTATATAAACAACAAAAAAGCACAGCAATGGGAACATGATTTGCACCCAGTTATGCAAATCTGTACATGGTCTTTTGGGAAGAGAACTATGTGATTTCTAATCTGAACAGTCTTCGGGATAAAATGTTGTGGTGGGGTCGTTACATTGATGATGTTCTGCTATTGTGATCTGGGTCTGAACAAGAACTTTTACAGTTTCACTCATACTTGTATAATCCAAATGTCAATATTAAACTCAGCCTAGACTATTCCTTATCAGAAAAACATTTCCTGGATTTAAATATTTATATATTGTCTATATTACCATTGTACATTTTTCAGAAAATTAACTGATCAAAATACAATTTTAAAAGCAGACAGCTTTCACCCCGCATGGTTGCTTCAGAATGTCGCTTATGGTCAGTGTCAGAGACTACTGTAGACACTGAATCTAACTTTGAAAAAAATGCCCAAGATGAGCTGTAGATTGAAAAACAGAGGCTACACAGATAGCACTGTATCGTCAGCCTACAATTTAAACCAAAAGTCTTAATAGAGAAGAATTATTGACTCAGGAAAATGTGAGTTCTAATCAAGTGTACTTTATAACTGAATATGGCACTGAATCAAACAGAGTCAAACAAATAATCAAACAGAACTGAAGTATATCAAGAAGTGACAGCAATCTAAGACATGCTCTCCCAGAGACTCTTAACATCAGCTTTAGAAAAGCCCCTACACTCAGTGATAGACTGGTGAACAGTTATCTCCCTCCATTGAAACAAAAGACATGGCTGGACATTAAGGCTGGCTGCTACGGGTGTGGTAACTGTACCTGTTGTGAGCATGTACAACAGACTAGCTCGTTCATGGACATTACATCAGGTCAAAGTTTTGATATTAGGACATTCATTAATTGTAACACCGCTCATATAGTATCCAGACTCAAATGCCCATGTGGTCATTTTTACATAGGCATGCAAAATGCAAACTAAAAAATAGACTGGCTGAGCACAAACAGGCTATAAGGACCTGTAACCCCCTGTATCCTATGGCCATGCATTACAAAGAAGCCAACCATGGCAGCTGTAAAAGCCTAAAAATCTGTGCAATCGAACATATTAAAGAAACAATAAGTGGAGGATATAGACTGAAAAAAACTATTACAGAGAGAGTCCTACTGGAGCTACACTCTCAAGGCCACCCAGTTTCCAGGACTCAGTGGAGAGCTAGATTTCTCCCTCGCCCTTTAAAACCACAAGCTTTAAATGTGTAATCAGTTCCTGTTTTACATCTTTGTCTCCATGAAACTCTTTAAGACTAGCCCTCTAATATATTATACAAATTATAGCTATTTCTGTAGCACTTTTTAATTTTTGCACTATATATGTTTATATACTGTACTATGTATCTTTCTATGTATTGGTTGTTGGTATTTGTACTTTTTATATCTTGTATTATATTTGAACTTAAATAGCTTGTAACTAAAATCTGTTCAGCCTACATGTCCCATCATGCACCAGGGGACAGTGGGCCAGCCCACTGAACATGTGACCTACACTTATTACTTTAAAACTGCACTGTGATGTCCATCTCGAGTTTGCTCTAATGAAGGCTGAAGGGCCGAAATGCATTGGTGTGATTTTAATCTTTTAATCTTTTATCTGCCATGTGGTATTAAAGGCAATAAATTAAAATAAACAAACAAAAACAACTGAATTAACATGTATTTCTTAAATTTCAGAATTTCTCCAAGAACATCTTTGCCATCCTTCAGTCAGTTAAAGCCAGGGAAGAAGGTCGTGCTCCAGAGCAGAGACCTGCACCAAACGCCCCACAAGTGGTGAGAACCAAAAGGATAATTTTACAAAAGATACTGTTATTATTACCATTAATTACTTTTAAATTATTTCAATTTCAGGATTCTTCTATTAGAAATAAACAACCAGTCCCAGCAGCCTACAATAGATACGACCAGGAGCGCTTCAAAGGAAAAGAAGGTGAGGTGAACTTTTAGCTGATTTGAATAGTACTCTTACCAGGTTTTCTTAATTGTTGTTTTTCTACATTTGTTTAGAAACTGAGGGGTTTAAAATTGATACCATGGGTACTTACCACGGCATGACCCTGAAGTCGGTGACGGTGAGTCTCAAGTGAATGATAAGAACCTTTTTATACCGTACAATGCAATTATAAATATAAACACAGTGTAATGGTTTCTTTATTCTATCCACGTGGCTTTGAACTAGTTCTATTAATAGATCAAGATTTCTCTCAAACTATTCAGGGAAGATCCAAATTGGTCTTTAAGTTTTATTTTTTTTTATCCAGCATCCCTAATCTGCAAATGAATATGTAGTTTTGATAGTAGTGTTAGTATTTTTTGTTTTTGTTAATGGTGACAGTAATCGTAAATTGGTATTAAGTATTTTATTGAACACACTATCTCATTCTCCCATTTATTGCACATTTTTTGGATGTACATTAAAACTCCAACTATGCAGTTGTATAAAATTTCACTAAATGATTTCTGTGTATAACAGTTTATATAATATACTATTGAACACAAACCTGTAAATGCACAATCAAGCCATATTTGGAGTTCAGTTTAGTTTGTTTTAGTGCAGTCTTTTGGAGTGTGTCCGACTCATCCTTTCCTTCAGGGCATTGATGCAGGCGTTGTGTTTGTTGCTTTGCAGGTGATGCCAGTATTTCAGTAGCTCATTTGGATGAAATCCATGTGAGGTTATCAGGTGGCTGTACTTGCAGCTTGAGTAAGAAACTCTCCAGTGGTTGAATAAGAACTCATTTGGGGGAGGTGTGGGTTCAATGCCGAGCTCAGCTAGACAGACTCCTACATACACATCTTCCAGATGTAGATAGCGGATGTTTAGCGACACTTTGTAGATCTTCCTTGCCAGGTCTCCAGAGAAGACATAGCCTGTTCCAGAACAGAACGTGGGGTATTTGTTGCCTGGGTAGGATTCTGGAGGCATGTACCATTTACTGTTTTTGTTTCGATTTGGTGCAAAGCCTCTCATGTTATTCCCTGTAAAATAATTTGTTCTGTGTGTCAGGTCTGGTCTAAGTAATTTCTGTATGAGATATTCTGTGTTGACAAACATGTCGCTGTCTGTCTTCATCACATATGCAGCATGTGGACAATATTTTGATACCCAGTTTATTCCCATCATTGTTTTAACAGTCAAGTTTTTATATGAGTCTAGAAAGTTTTGTTGAATAATATCATGATGCCTTCGACTCTCTGACTCCAGCATCTTCTGCTGTACAAGCCCCAGCTCACCTTCATTTTTTCCCAACAAAAACAAGCGTATGAAGCCCAAAGCAGGAGCAACACTCTCATTTCCCCATGTCTGTCGAATAGCATTTCTCGCCTCTACCTGGCGAGCCTCAGTAGCTATCAGCAACACCAGAAATGGGACAAGTGTCCCCTCTGAGCACTTGTTTTGTTCATTTATGATGTAATCAAAAGGCCCATCTGACATCAGTTCTTGCGGCTCAGTTTGTGTGCCGTTGGCAGTCAGTGAGTGCGGAGCGGGCTCTTCCTGAAGAGATGAGAGGCCTATGTTCTCATGTGAGGAGTTGTCCACATTAATGGTTGGCTGCGGGATTATAACAAAGTGCCACGTGCTACGTTTGGAGCTCAAGTTTGATTTGGCTTTGGTTGACTCAAGCTTCTCTCCTCCAAAGACCACAGGATGTCCCCTCCACCATGGCAAACCTATGAGCTGTGGGAGCCACACCTGGTGTACTAGAAAGATCAATAATCCCAACAAGGAGAGAAGATAGAGAAGTTTAGCTGCATGTGTGCAGCAGTGTCTGCGTCTCCACTGCATGACTTCAGCACAGCTCTTCATTCACTTATCGTGCTGCAGGGCAAACCACAGGGATCCCTGATGTTTCCTGAAAATATAAAAAAGAATATTATTTCTCCTATGCCATTTCATTCTTCAAAACAAAGTCATTGAAAATGTCAAATGCAATATATACTGTAGCTGTTGCCATACTTGGTTCCTCAGACTGGTGTTCTTTCACTTATTTACTTTATATATAGTGTTACACTCTACCCTCTTGAAGGACCCCATCGACACAAAGAGTGGTTTGTCAGGCATCTGAAGCTCTGACGTGAAGCTGCTTTTGAGCTGTGTCACTGAAAATGGCCCACTGTCTACATCACAGCAACTCTGGCACACAGCCAGTTCTGTTGCTATTACCAGTGATAGTTGCCTCAAACCCACCTGATTTGCTCTTGTTGCTTTGAAGTAGGCATTACACATGTTGCTCTTTTTTTCAATGATTGAAACTAAGATACAACAGCTTCAGTTGGCATCAATTTCCTTTTTAACGGATAGCGGCTGAACAGTCACTTTGACAGGAAGCAAACTGCGATGTAACCCATAAAAATGAAACCGTGCAGAGCTGTATTTGTATGTTGAGCAGGCTGCAATGCGTCCAAGGATGTATGCTAACAGCTTTGCTGCTACATCTGACTGAAGGAAAAATACTGAGGTTTGTCTTGAAGTTATTCTCACAGCCATACCCTTCAGAAATCTTAATGATCCTGGCTTGTATCCAGTTTCTCAATGTCTGCGCTCCTCATTTTTCAATGCCGCATTTCCCCCATCCATTATTTTTCTTCTAATGCCATGCCTCTTTTCAGCCTTGTATTCTGCTGCTTCTTCACTGCGTCCGAACGAGCGGGTGTGAGTGGGGGGAGGAGAGACGATGTGGCTTGGGGCTTTGTGGCAGTGCGCACTCCCCGTTACCACGTCACGCTGCCTCTGCCGCGCAACAGCAGCAGGGAAGGGGGGGGCTTCGAGCTGACCCATTTGTATTCACACCCACTCTCTCCATCAGAAGCATTCAAGCTTATCTCAATCTGCTATGCTGCTGGAATTGGAGAGGTGTTGCCACATTCTCAGATTACCCACTTAAGGCCTGATTATTTATGTTTATTAGAAAGAAGTTCCATTTATCTGCCTGCCATGTCAGTGCTCTAGTTTAATAGTGTCTGGAACCTGTTGGCGGTAGAAGTGCTTGAATAAATGCTTGTACATCCACCCAGACGGGGGAAATTACCCATTAGACCATTTAAATACTGTGTTGCTGTAGTGCATTTTGGTTGCTTTCAACAGCAACATTTTTAAAAACTGTGTTTGTCGGCATCAAGGAGGAAGACACTAATTTTCATTGACATAGCCATTGACTGTTGGGGTGTGAGTTTTTGTTTTGTTTTTTAACGGGAGCACAGCTGGCTGTGCTGCTGTGCTGCAGATAAGATGTCATTGACGGTGCGGCTGCAGTAATGCTGATTGTCTGCCCTCAAGCCTCTGGGCCCTCTTGCTGCTTGTGTCATTGTTTTCTTATTGGACAGTGCCTAATGATGAATCAGTTTAGAATGAAATGGTAACATTGCTGATCAGTATTATTTAACATGGGAGCATTGATTCTGAGACATCCACACACAATATATTGATAATGTTTTACAATGTTGATTCAGTTTATATTTGGCATCTTTGACATGCCTCTGACATACAGGTAGATACTCTGTATAGCTCCCCCCTCAGTCTCTGCTGGTACTACATGACTCCATTTTCCTTTTTTTTGAATAATTGCTTAAAACAAACTTTTGTTTTTTTATCAGGAAGGAGCATCTGCACGGAAAGCCCAGACCCCAGCCCTGCAGCCTGTCCCTCGCCCAGGTTGGAAAACAGTTCACTAACATGAGCACATTTTGTTACTGTCATGAAAATTATTATTTATCATTTTGAGTTAAATGAGTAGAGGCTGAAGTAAAGAGGATGTCCTTGGGCTGTTGCACAAATGAGTGGATCTTTGCAGCTAAGATGGGGAGGAGGATGAGAGCTCAACTTGTGGAGGAACTAAAGGACATCACAGCAGAAGTATGGAGAAGGTGTCAGATGAAGAAATTGATAGGTTTGAGGCTGAGGCGGAGGTATAGAACTCATGGCTGATGACAGTCCACAGTGCCTCATGGGTCAGTCACATGCCCTAATAACCCCTTACCTTGGACCCTTTGTTTGTCTGCTGTGCACCTGCATCTTTAGTTTCATTTTTAGGTCATATTTTGAGCTCTCATCCTCCTCCTCATCTTGGAGATCTACTTCTTCAGTCATCTGTACAACAGCCCCAAGAACCAGATATGTGTATTCACACAGGTGCCACAGGGGGGCAGTCACAGGGTTACGTTGTCTGTGCTGGACTTGCAGACCATCTTTACCTTCAAACCAAAAAAACAAACCAGTTTTGTCTCAATTTCTGAATTCATCTTATTATAATGTTTTAGTCATGACATGCGTTTTAAACGCATTTTAAGCGCATGTCATGACTAAACCATAATAAGAATAAAATATAAAACTACTCTTTTCAGGGATAAAAACACACAGGGTACTGGTTAATATAACTGTTAATCCAACTGATGGACTACTGGTAGCAATGACAGTAGAGCTTGGTTAAATGTGTGTGCGCAGCATGGAACTACAGACAGAGCATTAAGAAATGTATTTCTTCCCTAGAAAGTTAAACATGTGGCTTTTAATAATAGTAAAGCCACAGTTTGTGCAGTGTTGTGAAATTTGTTTAGTTTTTTTCCTCCCGTAAGTCAGTCGTACTATTTGTTCCATAATTATCCTTGCTGTATTTCTACAGGCCTAGATAAAACATAGCTGTGTGTTGATGCCAAAGATTTACCTGAATTATTTTGTTACACTAAAGCTCTTGATAGTTATAATGTGACAGTATTGTGATTTAAATATTTATTTATTCACATTACAGTGTCACAAGCTCGACCACCCCCCAACCAGAAAAAAGGTAAAGGACTTTTTCCATTGATCATCAGTGTTGTCTCTTGTTATAATGTTTTGAACAATCCAGACATTTGTCTTGCATGCAAAATTTTCTGTGCTGTACAATTATTAGGCTCCCGGACACCTATAATCATTATCCCTGCTGCTACCACATCTCTTATTACTATGCTCAATGCTAAAGATCTTCTCCAAGATCTCAAGTGAGTTTACATGTTTGTTTTTACATGTATTTATTTACAATTCATGCTTTAATGATCAATTGTATTTAATTAACAAACTACAATGAATGTCACAGGTTTGTGACGTCAGATGAAAAGAAAAAGCAAGGCATCCCTCGAGACAATGAGGTGCTTCTTCAGAGACGCAAAGATCAGATCCAACCGGGTGGCACAACCCTCAGTGTCACTGTCCCCTACAGAGTCATTGATCAGCCCCTTAAATTGGCCCCACAAGACTGGTCAGTAATAAAACCTGTTCTGATTTGAAGAGTGCTTGTACTTGGGTCAGCTCAGTGTGGTTATCACTCAGGCTTCTCTAGGCTTTATACAAGGTTCTTCCAACATGTTTTCAAACTCTTACCGCAGTGATGGTATTATCTGTGTGGTTATGTTACTATTTGAAATATATGGTTTAAGCTTGTGTCTCTTCACAGGGATCGAGTTGTGGCTGTATTTGTGCAGGGTCCTGCCTGGCAGTTCAAGGGCTGGCCCTGGCTGCTGCCAGATGGATCCCCTGTTGACATTTTTGCCAAAAGTATGTAACAAACCACTCAAACCTCATTAACACTTAGGTCCATTTGTAAATGATATCGGCAAAATGCAGTGATCTTAGAAGATAATTAATCTTTGTGTTCTTTAGTTCGAGCTTTTCATTTAAAATATGATGAGGCCAAAACAGACCCAAATGTGCAGAAGTGGGATGTGGCTGTGCTGGAGCTGAGCCGCCATCGGCGCCATCTGGACCGGCCAGTCTTCCTGCGCTTTTGGGAAACCCTGGACAGGTACTGCTGCCACCTGGGATTTTAATCTCTTTAAATCTGAATGTTTACTATAGAATGTGTCTGAATGGCTGAAGAACTACACTGATCTATTGGGAGAAATAATTCATGCTCCTGCTTTTTTCTTTTGCAGATACATGGTGAAACACAAATCCCATCTCAGGTTCTGAGCCCAGGTCGGCAGCAGTCCTCCTGATACTTTTCTTCCAGCGTGATCCTGTTGAATGAGCCACAGTGACCACCAATCTCTCACACTTCAAATGCACTGTGCAGGATTAAATATTGTGTTTTATATAATGTTCATATAATTAAAATACCAAAATGTTTTATATAATACATGTTAAAGTTTAAACAAGATTAGACATCATGATAAAAAAGACAAAGTGTAAACTGTGCTGTCATGAGAAACAACAGGGTTGTATCATCCTTTCAGTTTGGGTTTATGGTCAGATTGTACATACTAAAACCAGCCAAAGCTCTTTGGGCTATGGACTCCTCATATAAGTTTATTTTTTAGAAAGGGGCTCTGATTTTGAGTAATAAAAGCTGTTCTAGTTCAGTTTTGACTTCAAACTATGGTCATGTTCGCTGATATTTCTTGTTGGTGTTGTGCTAAGAGTGAAATGGTGCAAAGTACCACTTTAAGCCATTTCATAAAAATTGACAATAAAGCCTCAAATAATAATTGTCTTATTTTTGACTAAATTTTATATCCAGTTTATGTCAAAGCAAATTATAGATCAACAATAAGAATGGACATTTTAACCAGACTATCCATTTATTCCATGACTGCAGAAACTTCAGCAACCTACTGTGATTATTATACCATTCTGGGTCTTGTTAATAACCCCCCTCCAACTGTAGCTGAAGGGCATTGGGGAAAAAAGTGTCTACCATGAAGAATGCAGACAAATAAAGCTCTGATTTGCAGAGTTTATAATAAGACAGCTACTTGGTAAAACAATCCTCCATTGTCTAACCAACTGATCCAATTGCTGATATCACGACTGTATAGACCAATAGTATTTATTATAGATGGAGGCAGCTAAAATTATCATTGATAAAATGCAGATTTCTGTTGTATTGCAGGTTCTTTGGTCTAGTCAATAATAGCAATGATCAGGTTCAACAGTGCGTTAGGCTCTAGAATGTGATCTCATACTCCTAGATAGGGGAAAGAGACAGATAATACATTTTATTTATTAGGCGCCTTTCTGGACACTCAAGGTCGCCTTCAATGAACAACTACAAACATAAAGTTAAATACAATTAAAAAACATACCGCCTACAGCTAAAGTGGGACAGTGCAGCTATGGTCTGGCGGTGTGGTGGAGTGAATAGGCTAGTCTGTGTTTAGAGTTTAAATTTGAAATGTGGAACTGAGTCAGTGTTGTGGAGGTCAGCAGAGAGAGTGGTCCAGAGCTGAGGAGCAGAGCAACTGAAGGTGATCAGATGGGCAGAGGGAACAGAGAGCTGGAGCGAGGAGGAGGAATGGAGGGAGCGGGCAGGTGTGGCAATGTGGAGGAGCTCAGAGAGATATCAAGGTGCCAGGTTATGGAGGGCTTTGAATGTAAGGAGCAGGATTTTGTATTGAACGTGATGTGAGATGGGGAGCCAGTGGAGCTGTTGTAGGATGGGTGTGATGTGGTTGATGGAGAAGGTGCATGCGATATTGCGGGCAGCTGAGTTTTGGACCAAATGAAGTTTATGGAGAGTTTTTTGCGGCAGACTAAACAGAAGGTAATTGCAGTAATCCAGACGGAAGGTGACAAGGCTGGGCACAAGGATGGCAGTGGAGTGTGGAGTAAGGGAAGGGCAGAGGCGGAAGATGTTGCAGAGGTGGAAATAGGCAGAGCAAGTGATATTGTTGATATGAGAGGTGAAGTGTTATCGAGGATGACACCTAGACTTTTTACCTGAAGGGAGGGGGAGATGGAGGAACAGTCAGTGGAAATGGAGAAGGGACTGATTTTGTTTAGGGTGGATTTAATGCCTACAAGCAGAAGTTCGGTTTTATTGCTGTTGAGTTTGAGGAAGTTTGAGGTGAACCAGGATTTAACTTCTTCAAGACAGTTAATAAGGGAGGAGGGTGGGAGAGTGGAGTTTGGAGTTTGGTTTGCTAAAGGGGTAGAGCTGGGTGTCATCCACGTAGCACTGGAAGTGGATGTGGTGTTTCCAGAAAATGTGACTGAGGGGGAGGAGGTAGAGGGTGAACAGCAGGGGAACGAGGATAACACCTTGAGGAATACCAGCGGTGATGGAGACTGGATGAGAGGTGAAAGGTTTGAGTTGGATGAACTGGGTGCAGTGGGAAAGATAGTGAAAACAGGAGAGGGCTGTGCCAGTGATGCCAATAGAAGAGAGTCGGTCAAGAAGGATGGAATGAGAGAATTGTGTCGAAGGCTGCACTTAGATCAAGCAGGAAGAGGATGGATAATGAACCAGAGTCAGCAGAGAGGAGAAGGTTGCTATTGATTTTGAGGAGGGCCGTTTCAGTGCTGTGGAGGGGATGGAAGCCACAATGCAAATGTTCATACAGGTTATTGGAGGAAAGATAGAAATGGAGTTGAGCAGAAACATTTTTTTTTCAAGGATTTTTGAGATGAATGGAAGGTTAGAGATAGGGTAAAAGTTAATGAGGTCAGTGGGATCTGAACAAGATTTTTTGAGAATAGGAGTCACAGCAGTGGTTTTGAGGGTTGTGGGAACAGTTCCAGAGGTGAGGGAGGCGAGGATTATATGGGTGATCAGCGAAGACAGAGATGGAAGAATGGCTTTGACAAGGGCTGTGGAAAGTGGGTCAAGTTGACATGAAGGTTTGGATTTTTGAATAAAGGTGGAGATTTGATTGACAGATGGCAGGGTAAATGATGAAAAAGGGAGTGGGGGGAAGTGACGGGAAATGTAGACGCCAATAAAGTTAGAGCAGAGAAGGGGGTTAGCTGCCAGTGAATAATTTTGATTTTTGTGGTGAAGAATGAGACCTGGGTGTTACCGAAATCAGAAGAATAGAGATGAGATGGAAGAGAATCAGGAGGTGTGGTGTAGATTGTTGATGTGTCTCAAAGCATAAAAAACTTATTCAATTTTGAATAGGTTAAAATAAAGACTAACTATTTATTTTTATATGTAGAATTCTTCAGTTTGTGGTGTTTTAATATTTCTTACATTTTAACTATTTTAATTTTGCTGCCCCCATCTGTATTAAATAATAGACTATACTAGTAGAATGTTATGTCTGATATAATGACATTCTTCTAGTGAATTGATGACTAATTTGAAGCCCAGCAATATAAAATGCTCCAAATGTGACTGGTGTTTACTTCTGTTACTGTTGAACTAACCACTGACCTTTTGATTTGTATTGCTATTTCGAAATGCTCAATTGTAAACAGAACAGTCCGGGAAATCATTTTGAAATGTGGACTTTCTGTAAGGCCTGCCACGATCGCACACAAACATTCAACTTTTTGGACATAGGCTCTTGGTATTCATTAACAATCCTAAATCTAGAACAACTTCAGCAGTATTTTGCTGTTACTAACAGCCTTCAGGACAAAATGGACCTAAGATTTTTTGGGTTATGGGCTGTAGTTCAGAGCCTTTCTGCAGTTGTGAAGGGTAAGCCTTTATTTCATTTAAGATTTATGCAAAGTGAATCAGTAATCTAGGCCAGACCTGGGCATTGTACAGCTCTTGAGCCACATACAGCCCTTTGGTTGGTTTTGTTTAAGCTAATTTTGAATTACAAAATAAACATATTTTATCATTTTACCTCATGCATAAAGTAAAGCTGCAATGATTTGAATTGATTTTGTTTTTTAATCACTTTTCATTGCTTACTCATAAGCTCTTACCAGTCTTACCAGCTTGTCAAAACATTTTTTACAGCTTTTTTTTTTTAAATAAAGAAATACCATTAATATTAGACAGAACTGAGTTAAGCATTTTAGCCCAGCCCTCCACAATATTTTCTGTTTCTTATGTGGTCTCATTGAAAAAAATAATTGCCCTCCCCTGATCTACACCTATGTATGGGTTTCAGGTTCCTGTTAACTGAGACATTTTGAGCACTTTTTTTTGCTATGACAACAATCTTAATTTTCCATCATTCTGAAATTTTGTAGGCCAATATGGAAGCCGTTTAATTTATTTATTTGCCAGAAGTGTCAAAAGAGTTTACTACTGTAAATTCTAATTATGAACCATATAGGCTATTGTTTGTCGACTAAACAGAGTTTTATATTTACTATGTTGTAGATGCCAGTGGTCAAGGCTGCCAACATCTGAACATCTTGAATGGTTACTCTTTCTCTGACCAGAACCACCTACTGTACTATGCCTGTGACCAGGGTTTTATGCCAGTGGAGGGGAGTTGGTGGGCAACAATTTCTTGTCAAAACGGAAACTGGTCTTCAAAGCCACAGTGTATTGGTAGGTGTAACACTTACGTATGGCATATAGGTTAACCTTAGAAATAAAGGCAGCACATCAAATCGATATGATTTATGATTATATCAAATGCTCAAATTGCCGTGTAGCTAGTTGTGCGAGATGGTCAACCCCTTAAAAAGCAGTTTTGCTAATAAATTATTAAGTAGCACAGTTCTGTAAAACTTGAGGAGTGATTGACCAATAAATGCTTCAGCTCAACCCCTTTTAGACTGATATGCAGAATTTGCAGCATTTACAGTGCTGTGAGCATAAGAGACATGCCTTTACTTCTGGACTAAAATTTAATCAAACTTGAGTTAAAGTTTGGTAAAGTGAGAGATCTCTCCAAGAAAGTTTTGAGCAATTTCTTAACAGCAATCTATGCTTAATTTTCTACAGAGTAATACATTTAATACGCTACGTAGGCTATAGTTTATATTAGAAATCTAAAACAACATGTGAACCACCAAAGACTAATGCAACAAGCATAACTGCAAAAATAAAAAAAGACAATTAAACACTCTATTCTTCTTCAGCGGATACGTCATGCTTTGATCCACACATTGTGAATGGCATCTATGACAAATTCACATTTCAAGAAAACAACTTTAAACTGAGGGTAAAATGCAAGTCTGGATATGAAGACAAGAACAAGCTCGCCATAGCTCATTGTTCAAGTGGAAACTGGCTGACATTACCAGTCTGTGAAAGTTAGTGAAGCAGCAATGTCACATACCCAATCAAATCAAATTATAATCAACAATATCTGCTTTTACAGAGGATGAGGAATCATGTGGGCCACCTCCACAAATCCCAAATGCTGTTATAATTAACCAGGTTTATGAGGATATATTTCCTCAGGAAGCGAAAGTGCAGTATGTATGTCGGACTGGATTCGAACTGGAGACGCGTTCTAAGAATACGACCATCTGCAGTTATCAGCAATGGGATCCACTTCCCTCATGCAGTAAGTGAAGAAGAGAATATAAGCACATAACATCTGTGATACAACTTTACATAAGAACATGTGGCCCTGCAGGAAAAAAACAGATAAACCAAGATGGAGTGCCTCAGGTCACGTCAATCCCCACTGGGTCAGATGACAACGATCAGCATATGTCCACTGCAGGGAACAAACCAACAGTCCACGATGGGGCCAAAGGTGAGGGAAATGTAGTGAATCTGTGATATCTTCTTCTAAATGCTTATAAAATGACTATTACTATTAAAAACTAGAAAAGCACTCAGAGAGCGCAGACCTCCGCCAAGGACTACCCCCATTTTTTATATAAATTGCGATAAAATCAGTCTTCTGGATCAGATCCGGATCAACCTTTGGAATATGAAAGAGGATCCCATTGTCCATCCCTGAGTCAAATTTCATGGGGTTTGGTCAATAATTAACCGAGATATTGAGAAACAAATTTTTTGTCCCCATTTACCACAATGTTAACTAAAATTTCAAAGTGATCCAGAATCCAGGATTTCTTCCGGATCACCCCCAAAATGAAATCAGTTCTTCCTTTTCACATTTCCAACAAATCCTGAAAATTTCATCAAAATCGGTCCATAACTTTTTGAGTTATGTTGCTAACAGACAAACAAACAAACAAACAAACAAATAAACAAACAGACACACGCCGGCGGAGGTAAATATTAACTCTTTGTATGCCTTCAGATGCTTCAGCCCCCACTGGGTCAGACGACAGCCATCAGCAGATGTTCACTCATGGTATTTAATCTCAATTTACACTGTCCCTTTCACCTGTAGGAGTCTATTTTAAGTTATCACATTGTCTTATGTTTTCTGCAGTCGACAAATGTGGCTCCCCTCCCACAGTAAACAATGCAGACTTTGAGGTTGATCCAGGTCAGATGTTTGTGACATATCAATGTAATTACTGGTACAAACTAAACGGAAACAGTATAGTGAGATGTCTGAATAACCAATGGACTCCACCACCCACCTGTAAAGGTATACAGTATTTGTAAGTGATTAAATGCAGAATCATTCAGTTTAACCAATGTAATGTGTGTGCAGTTGACTTCTGTGAGCTGGACACTTGTAAATATCGTGATCTGGTGAACACGGGCAATATTTATATTAAAGCTGGAACCGCAATGAAATTGTCTTGTTCTGGTACAATACATGGAAGACTGCACAGGCTGTGTGCAATGAAAACAAGGAATTGTATTTGTCTGCATGTAAGTAGACTAAGGAGCGGATTCTTTGAATCATATGTTATCAGTTTATTATAATAATACATTACACCTCAGCTCAACATGTGGCTCAGTGAGATATTGTAAAGAAATATCTTTTTCTTCTAGGTTGTTGGAAGACAACCCATAACGTGGTAGGTGACCATATGAATATTTAAAGCATATATTTTTCTTGTGTTCATGTAGTCAGTTTTTAGTATAAATGTGGAATAGTTTTTTTCTCATCACATTTTTGTATATTGTTCAACAGAAGTACTGATTATGAAATGTGTTTTTTCTTTAGCGCCTCTGTGGTTACACACGAATATATAACCAAGAAACCCAGACTCAAGATCAGTAACAATAAAAAGATCAACTTAGATGGTCATCTCATTTATGTGACCAAAACATGTCTGAACGACCAGCATTGTCTTCATTAACGCTTTAAGACTGAAGTACAAGTGCTAAGCCTGTCCTTAGTACACACTGGCTCTTGTTTAGCTAATTTTGAAGTTTTGTCCCTGTTCAAACTAATGCTTTTTTTTTTTTTTTTTTTCCCCCAAATAGCACAATAAAGCATAATATTTCAACACATTTCTTGCCTATATTGATGTCATGAGATGTCATGGGTTGGTTGGTGTAGTTTTGTCCTACAGCGCTGGAATCTATCACACAGTAGTGCGCCCTCTAAGCTTCACAAAGATGGTTCACACTCCCAGGACACAGTTGTATTTTCAGCAGTATTTTAGGAGATAGACCTTCATCATAGTTGTTTAGCCATCACAAAAGGGACATTCACAAAACACTGATCCTTATTTTCTGCTTTCACACTGTCAGAATAATATGCAGCTTTCAAAGTCATGTAAATGTTGTGGAAAAATTGTATAAATCTTGAAGAAAAAAATAATTGATTCATTTGCGAAGCCCAGTGAGTTTTTGGAACACAGACAAAGGTTTATTCGTCTTTGTTACAGCAGATGTGGACAGGGCCTAGGCCTGCCCTGACCAAAGACCAACAGCCTCTCGTGAGTCTCCTCTCTCCAGTCACGCCTCCAATCTCTTCTCTCCATCTCCCCCAGAGCATCTGAGCTCTGAGTATTTATACAGACATACAAGTTACATGCATATCAACGCAGAGTGACTTTTGTTTCACAGACTTGTGTTAATCAACTTTACATTTGAGACAATTCAGAGTTCCCTGTGAGGTGGGGACAGTTGTGTCTGCTGAACCTTTACACATGTTAATGAAATCACATTCATTTACACAAAGACAGATTGAGAAAAATCTTTCCACAATATAAAGTTCCATCACAGTAAATATGGGCAAAGTTGAACATTTTGTCCCACAGCACAGCTAACTGCCAAGCTCCACCCACTGTATTTACTGACACTTAAAAAGACCAGATTAAACCAACTCATAGAGGACTGTAAACTTGCACCTGAAAATGTGTGGACGTCATCTTCTAGTGTCAGTTTTACTGTGGATGGCTGCTGGAATATTACAATGTGAGTATATTTATCAGAAACCTCACAAACTATATACTTTTGAGTGAACCAGTTGCATCTATATTTATAAGTATTATTCTCTATTATGGGCTTAGTTTGGTAGCATTTGGCTATTCACAAACCAATGCATTTTTGTGCATAGCTAAAGTGGCCAAACAACAGTGAGGCAAAGATGTAGCCTAATTAAAAACTGTGTAGACCGACTTTGAGTAACTTTATATTAAACTGTGTGGCCTCAATATTGTTTTATGACCTTTTGATACAGGTTCATTGGGTTATGACGAAGACCTTCTCTTCAAAACAAGTATGGCTTTTACACTGACCCTACACATGTAGCCTACAGGCTGTAACAGTATCTTTTTTTAGTTGTCAGATGTGGAGAGGCCCCCCAAATAGAGAATGGGCATATTGTGGAGCGCAGCCTTGTGTATTTGAAGTATCAGTGCAGTCCTGAGTATATTCTTCATGGTATCAACACAGTGCATTGTTTTAACAACGAATCATGGTCTGAAGTGCCCCGCTGCAAAGGTGAGATATTTAATGCAACACTCAGTAAATGACAAACAATCGTAAATCAGGAAAACCTACAAGAGCTGCATTCTGGTCTTTAATAGAAATCTCTTAGCCATCATACACGAGGGATGTTCAAAAAACACTGATCTTATATTCTGCTTTCACACCATCAGAAGAAGTATATGCAGCTTTCAAAGGGTTATATGTTGCTTTTATGTAAATATGGGTAATGTTCAACATTTTGTCCCACAGCAAAGCCAACTAGCAAGTTCCACACATTTTATTTACCTGTGCCTATGAAAAAGAACCCAAATCACAACTCACATTACTATATTTGAGGAATTGCATTATTTGAGGAGATTTTAAACCTCTACTTGAACTAATTGAGTGTAATTCTAGCTATGTAATTGTACTTCATTACATTTAAAATCATAAGAGTCATAGACAATGTCAGCAGTCACCTCCAGGCTCTCTCTCTCAAAACCTTCAAATCAGGTTAGAATCTAGGTGTAATAATGGAGTCAGGCTTGAACCTTTACAGCCACATCAAATCAATAAGATCTGCAGCCTTTTACCACCTAAAAAACACAAAATCAGATGTATGCTGTCTAAAGCAGGCTTGGAGAGATGTATCCATGCGCTTGTCTCCAGTAGGTGAGATACTGTAACGGCCTCTCACTGGCCTCTCCAAACGAGCTGTAAGACAGTTGCATTACATCCAGAACACTGCAGCTCAGGTCCTGACTCAAACCAGGAAGTACAAGCACATAAATCCTGTGCTCAGGTCTCTGCACTGGCTTCCTGTGGCTCAGAGAATAGACTTTAAGTGGTTCTGCTTGCGTACGAGTCTCTCTATGGCCGAGCACCAAAATACATCCATGACATGTTAGTGCCGTATGAACCATCTGCACTCTGAGGAGCTCAGCCTCCTGCTGGTGACCAGAGTCAGGACTAAACATGGGGAGCCAGTGTTTCGGTTTTATGCAGCTAAAACCTGGAACAGTCTTCTTGAAGATGTGCGACAGGCCTCTGCTTTGACTTTGTTTAAATCCAGGCTCACAGTTCTGTTCAAACAATTCTGTTTAGCTGTGCATATGACTGAAAGGTTTTCATTCTGCACTCTTCTCTCTAACTAATGTCTCTTTATTTATGTTCTGATTTGTTTGTATTGTGCGTTTAATGTATTTCTTATTCTGTAAAGCACTTTGAATTGCTTTGTGTACAAGTTGTACTATACAAATTAACTTGCCTTGCTTTGCAAATTGTCCCAATACAATGTTTCTCACTGCAGCATCTTTTCCTCTTTTGTGCTAATTGAAACAATGTGAATGTCTTTCAGCCGCTTCAGCCCCCACTGGGTCAGACGACAGCCATCAGCAGATGTTCACTCATGGTATTTAATCTCAATTTACACTGTCCCTTTCACCTGTAGGAGTCTATTTTAAGTTATCACATTGTCTTATGTTTTCTGCAGTCGACAAATGTGGCTCCCCTCCCACAGTAAACAATGCAGACTTTGAGGTTGATCCAGGTCAGATGTTTGTGACATATCAATGTAATTACTGGTACAAACTAAACGGAACCAGTATAATGAGATGTCTGAATAACCAATGGACTCCACCACCCACCTGTAAAGGTATACAGTATTTGTAAGTGATTAAATGCAGAATCATTCAGTTTAACCAATGTAATGTGTGTGCAGTTGACTTCTGTGAGCTGGATACGTTTAAATATCGTGATCTGGTGAACACGAGCAATATTTATATTAAAGCTGGAACCGCAATGAAATTGTCTTGTTCTGGTAATACATGGAAGACTGCACAGGCTGTGTGCAATGAAAACAAGGAATTGTATTTGTCTGCATGTAAGTAGACTAAGGAGCGGATTCTTTGAATCATATGTTATCAGTTTATTATAATAATACATTACACCTCAGCTCAACATGTGGCTCAGTGAGATATTGTAAAGAAATATCTTTTTCTTCTAGGTTGTTGGAAGGCAACCCATAACCTGGTAGGTGACCATATGAATATTTAAAGCATATATTTTTCTTGTGTTCATGTAGTCAGTTTTTAGTATAAATGTGGAATATTTTTTTTCTCATCACATTTTTGTATATTGTTCAACAGAAGTACTGATTATGAAATGTGTTTTTTCTTTAGCGCCTCTGTGGTTACACACGAATATATAACCAAGAAACCCAGACTCAAGATCAGTAACAATAAAAAGATCAACTTAGATGGTCATCTCATTTATGTGACCAAAACATGTCTGAACGACCAGCATTGTCTTCATTAACGCTTTAAGACTGAAGTACAAGTGCTAAGCCTGTCCTTAGTACACACTGGCTCTTGTTTAGCTAATTTTGAAGTTTTGTCCCTGTTCAAACTAATGCTTTTTTTTTTTTTTTTTTCCCAAATAGCACAATAAAGCATAATATTTCAACACATTTCTTGCCTATATTGATGTCATGAGATGTCATGGGTTGGTTGGTGTAGTTTTGTCCTACAGCGCTGGAATCTATCACACAGTAGTGCGCCCTCTAAGCTTCACAAAGATGGTTCACACTCCCAGGACACAGTTGTATTTTCAGCAGTATTTTAGGAGCTAGACCTTCATCATAGTTGTTTAGCCATCACAAAAGGGACATTCACAAAACACTGATCCTTATTTTCTGCTTTCACACTGTCAGAATAATATGCAGCTTTCAAAGTCATGTAAATGTTGTGGAAAAATTGTATAAATCTTGAAGCCACCCACCCCACCACCCACCTGTGAAGTTATACAGTATTTGTAAGTGATTAAATACAGAATCATTCAGTTTAACCAATGTAATGTGTGTGCGGTTGACTTCTGTGAGCTGGACACTTGTAAATATGATGATCTGGTGAACACGGGCATTGTATTTATTAAATCTGGAGCCACAGTTGAATCGTCTTGCTCCAGTGGTAGCCGGGAGACTGCACAGGCTGTGTGCAATGAAAACAAGCTTTTGTATTTGTCTCAATGTAAGTAGACTAAGAAGCTGATCCTTTGAACCATATGTTATCAGTTTATTATAAAAATACATTACACCTCAGCTCAACATGTGGCTCAGTGAGTTATTGTAAAGAAATATCTTTTTTTTTTTTTTTTTTCAGGTTGTTTTAAGGCATCCCATAAGCTGGAAGGTGACAATATGAATATTTAAAGCATATATTTTTATGTCCATGTAGTCAGTTTTTTGTAGCATAAAATGTGGAATAGTTCCTTCTCATCACATTCTTGTATATTGTTCAAAAGAAGTATTGATCATGAAATGTGTTTTGTCTCTAGGACTCTTGTGCTTACCAGTAGTCAGTTGAGGAAGTCACAAGTGCTCTGATCACTGAAGGAAAACTGCACATCACAATTTAAGACGTTTATACAAGAATGATAACAATGTCTTGACTTGTCTTATGTCTGTGACCAAAAAAATTTCTGAAAGACGATTCACACCTGATCTTTTAACAATTTTTATACTATGCTCCACAGACCAAGAGCAAATGATTTTGCATCACCAACATCTGTTTGTGACTACATGGAAAAAGGTGAAGAAAGAAAAATTAGTAGTAGTTTGTAGTTCTTTATTAAGTAACAAGTGCATCCATTCACAGTCCATTGTGTGATCCTACACAATAAAACATGATTGTTTACACTGGATGATGTTCATTATCATTTTGAGTTCATTAGAAGTATACTGTACATACACAAAGTGATATTAAATGTGACTGCTTAAAAGAATAGCAGATCATACTGACGGAGTGTAGTTCCTCCTCATGTCGGACAATCCGAGGAATTGGGAGTTACATAAAGTCCTAATACATTATGCCACTCATAATTAGGCAAGCGGTCATGATGATATGTATAATAAACATGAGATTAATATAATAACACGGAAAATTCATTTTTAAAAAGTCAGTTTTCTTTTGAGTTGGCGACACTCTGGACAGAGGAGGCAGAGTCCAGGCCGAGCAGTGTGCCCAAGTAGGACTGCTCCCGGGGGTCTAACATCTGATCAGTCCTCACAGGGTGAACCATGTTAGCAGGCTGAGGGTTCAGTGTGTACTTTTCTAAGAAGGCCAAGTCTGTTGTGGATGGGTAACTTGGTTGTTGCCCTTGGACTAACGTGGCAGGCCCACAGGGGCTGGCAGGAGACGGGCTGCTGTGGATGGTGGATTTGGCTTCATTAAAGGCTTTTGTGGTTTCAACATAGGAAGCAGGCTCCAGTTTGTCTTGGCTTAGGGTCCCCACAGGTTGCACAGTGTAGCGTGTGCTGTGGACGTGGTCGACGTGGTATTTGAGTTTGTCTTTCCGTTTGAAAGCGGCACTGCAGTGTGGGCAGTTATAGGGCCGTTCTTCTGAGTGGATGACCATGTGCTTCGTCAGAGTCTTCTTTATCCTGAACGACTGGTGGCACTCAGGACATTTGTGGGGTTTCTCCCCTTTGACATAAATCACGCAGTTACTAAAAACCAGAGGCTCTATCTGGTGCTTGGACCTGTACTAGTAAATGTATTTTCACTGTGAGTGGAGCGGAGACAAATGATAGATTACTTTCATATTCAGTGCCATTATAAAAAAATAAGTAAAAAAAAATACTTTTAGGCATCTAATTGATGTGGTGCTTGAAAAGTAAAATCCCAAACTACCAAGAAATTTAGACAGTTGATAAGCCGTCTCTTTAAACCTCACACAGTGATTACGGAAGGAGCAATACTAGATTGATTTATCTGTATAGCCAGGCAATTTACTACCTACTCTGTATATACTCCACATATATTTTTCAAACATAACTAAGTAATACACTTGATGAAAGCAGGGTGGGCACTGATAGGAGAAAGTCAGGTGGGCTCAAAACAATTGTGAACCACAAAAAAGTTGAGGGTGTAAAAAACAACAAGAAATACATACCTGAATGAGTTCTGAAATGACTTTCTAAGCTCGACCTTCCTTTAAATTCCTTTTTGCAAACTTCACATTGATGCACAGCTGTTTTATACCTACATCATCCACAAAAGGAAACAGGTAAGAATGTCATAATTTTTGTCCATCTGTATCAGTGATAGTGACATTATGTCGAGTCGTGTTTTCATTGATTTAGTACAAAAAGAATCTAATATCCAGTATCACAAGCAATAAGAAATGTCCTGACATGAAGTATGTTTGGATATAGAGTGGATAAGAGTTATTTTCATTTTATATCACAGTCACAAGTTGGGAGCATGCTTCAGAGGCACAGTCAAGTAGTAGGATTCCTCATAGACAAAAAAGTATGAACTACTCAGTTGCTACAATCTTCAAATTATTTAGACAAAAACAAAGTGAATATCAACACATACTTCTGCCAAACTTTCTGTCCCAAGTGTACAGTTTTATAATGGACGGTCAAATGATCATGTCGCCTGAAGCACTTTCCACACTCTTCACACTGATGTGCTTTCTCACCTGGAAAAAGTTAAAGTTTGTTAGAAATCAACTGAAACATTGTAATGTTGTAAGGTGATGTCAGCAGTGTGATACCCGAGTGTATTTTCTGATGTTTGCTCAGATGGTCGTGGCGGATGAATGTTTTCCCACACTGAATACACTCATATCGCTTGTCGTTATGGTGAACTCGCAGGTGAAGCCTAAACAAGCACGCCATTCCATCAAAATGCAGTTACTAATTTATCACGGGCCAGCTAGAACCCCAAGCTTTTACAAAAGTTTATAAAGACGAGTAGATCTGGAGCCATATCCTGTATCCACAATTTCACAGGAGTGACTGATAGATGGATTAAACAATCAGAGAGATGCATACTCCGTTTGGATCAAAAGTAAACATGGAGGGTTAAATGCAAAAAAAGGGGAAAAACAACACAGAGGATTGAGAAACAGCACACAGTTTTAATGAATCAACAATCAAAGCAGCAAACTATTACTTATTTCAGGTAAAAGAAGTTATATATTTTGTACTGAATATTAAGAGCACTTTGGAGAGAAGATGTGTTCCGCATTTGCAAGATATGCGATACAAATTAGCATCTGTGGTTGGATCGCGTCAAGTTAGGATGGAGGATTTTCACCCTCTGTTGTCCAGTTCCAGTCCCTTCAAAATTATGTTCAAATGCAGAAGGGAAGATACTTGGATTCATGGGTTGCATTGACGAAATTTTCTTAATTTCAGATAGAGGGTAGGAGTCTCTGTTAACTGACAACAAATATATATACATCCATGCCAACACTTAAACACTGGAGTAATGCTGTTTTTGGCAGTTTTCTCACAACATCTACATTTTGATACACAAATGTACACAAATGTACATGTATTCTGCACTCCACCTCAATTTTTATAGTTAGCTTGAAAGAATGTTATGATTTTATGAACCCCGACTTTTTCCATTTCTATGTCTTATGAAAAAAAAAATAATAATAAAAATTATGGGACTGACCTGTAAGAACTCCCATGACGGAAACTTTGGCCACAAACACTACAAAGATGAGGCTTTTCCCCACTGTGGATTCGCATATGCTCCCTTAAAGTTGTTCTGTCAAAAACACAACAAAATAATATTGAGAAGTGAATGTGTTTAGCAAACATCACCGGGAACCATTTTGGACATTTTGTGCTTTTCTGATAAATCAGAAAAGTTATATTCTTGGGTCAAATGGAAAGGATAAATACTTGAACTTTACACAACACCATCACTGTATTGTGCTGGGTTTCAATAAGTCCAAATAGTCCACAAAACTATACTAAAAACCATATAAACTGAAGAAACATTTAACTAATATCACATTCATGGGGACAATTATTGCACATTAGCCACAGTACAGAGACATACCTTTCCCTCACGGACTTTCCACAGACAAAGCAGGTCCACTTCCTTTTACCACCGTGTGTACACTCTATGTGCCTCCTTTTGTTGCCCGAGTCATTGAATTGTCGTCCACAGATTTCACAGGGGAAGGGACCTGAAACAACAGAATATGTAGCAAAAAGCACTAGACAAGTGACTGTTCAACTGTTAATGGTTAGTTTACCTAAATGTGATTTTTCTTGGTGCTTCAATCGGGCAAATCTTGACTTGAAGTACTGGTCGCAGAAGGTGCATTTGAAAGGCAACTCTTGGGAGTGTAAAATCATGTGTTCCTGAAGATGTGGCCTGCGCGTGAATGTCTTCTGACAAATCTGTGGAAGTATTCAAAGGTTCCTTATAATGCAAAATTTACTATTGTGAGCTTTTACCCATGTTATAAAGTTATTACCTAATCAAAAACATACCCAAAGTCATGTTTTGTTTCATTCAAAAGTTTGAGTAAGCCTTTATTCTCTGGTAGTTTTCAAGTTAACAGTTACCCTTCAGGTTTTGTTCAGTAGGACCTGGCAATTCCAGGGCTAAAATTATCCAAATGATACTAGTGAAGGTGCAAGGAAACAACATTATAATACAAGGAATATAGGCCCTTTAAGAGCATATCATATCAAACATATCAAATTAACTTAGCCAAATTATTTTAAACTATTAATTCTGTATTGTGAGCTTGTAGAATTGGCTTACTATCACTTATGTTCTTGTACTTATGTTATCACTAATGTTCTATGATTTAAAACTTTTGTTGTTAGCAAATTAAAAATAGGTATAATTGCACAGCCCTAGTGTTCACTTCAGATCTGTTCTTACAGCACACTTCCAGCCTTCACTCCTCTTCTTTTTCTTGTTCTCTTGAATATGGTCAGGATGAAACCTAAATAAAAAAAAAAAAGACATATTAGCTTTAAAGACAGATATACTTCAGAAATACAAACATAACATTACAGCTATTGACATGATTGGTAAATAACAGATGTTAATGGGAGTATTACTGTATGAGGTAGTAATGAATGACACAACAGCGCCTCCTGTGGTTTGGACACATAGTGATCGTGAATGAGACCCGTGCTGAGATGAGCACAAGATGTGTATGGCAGGTACTAATAATATTATGTTTGATCTATGGATATTGGTATATATATATTTTCTGTTGTTACCTTCGGATGTGTTTTGCCAGAGTTTTTTTGCTGGCATGGAGCTTGTTACACACTGGACACTGGTGCTCCTTCTTTGAGCAAAAGTTGTCATTGTGGTGTTTTTTCTTGTGGACAGTCAGGTTGGATTTTGTGGAATAACACTGGAGGCAGATTTCACACTGGAATGGCTTCTCTCCCGTGTGCACCCTCGTGTGGCTCTCATACTTAGCTTTAAATAATACGCAAAACATGCTTATTTTATAAAGATAACATAACATTATAAAAAACAGTATATTCTGAGATGTCTAGATCTGTCAATTATTTATTTTAGTTTTTAATTTTGAAGCATGATATATTGGTGAAGAAAATATACATGATTAGTGATAATTTTGAATGCCATTATGCCACTGACTGATATGTATAGCATTTTTAATAAACAACATTAATGAGTCATAGTTATTTGTTAATCCCTCTACAGCTCAAATCTTATCATAGTTCAGAAAAATAACAAAAGGTTACCCACAAGTGAACAGAAAAGTACCCACGATAAATACTGATCATACATATCAAAATGTTGTTCTCAAATAATCCTTAAAACTTCCCTTGCCTTTCCCCGCCTATTGATTGACATTAAGTAAATCAGAAAAAGTTGTTTGTCTTTATAGTTGGCCAGCACCTACCTCCTATCTGTATGTAATAGAGATATTATGTTGGTTAAAGTTAAATAAATATTGACACATAAAAGCTGTACCTGCTCGGTCAAAGACTTTGTCACACTTCGGACATTTGAGCATTTTCTTGCTGGCAGTCTGAATAATAAGTGGAGCCAGTCCTTCGGGATATTCCTGGATTGTGCTTCGGGATGCTTTTGTTTTCATATTAACAGCATTCCTTTTTTCAGAATTGTGTTGATTTTGTGTTTTGTCTGTTTTTAACTGGCCTATATCCAGTTCAGCAGCATCATCATCTTGCTCTACATCCTCATTCTCATCTTGAATGTGAGGATTATTGGCCACAACCCCAACCTCAAAGTTTGCTCTTTTCTCTGCTTCCTCCAGTGAATCTCTAAGTAGTTTTGTTCTTTTATTGAGTACACTTTCACTTTCATTATCTGTATTATACTTCAGCGTCCTTTTCCTGCGCGTTGATCTTCGTATTGTTGCAGAGGTCTGATTCTCAGTTATGACATGAATCACCGTCTTGTTGTCTGATAAGCCTTCAGAACTTGGGGACTCACTATTGCCTGCATCTTCTGTATATTTGGGATCTATTGCCAACTCATCACTGGTCTGGTCAACAGGAGTAGCAGGAGATTTTGACTGAGCATCTTCAGAAAGCAGTTTAAGTATATCCATCATGTCTAAAAAACGTGCTGTTGCGATTAAAGTCGGGATGTCTGTTTCTGTTATAATGCATTCTGAAGTGTATAAAAATTCAAGTAAATGCTGAAAAACTGGTTCTTCTACATGGTCCAAGGTTACACGTGTGGCGTGTGGATTTTTGGAAAACTCGGCATGGAAGTAGCTGCTCCCATGGGCCAAGACTGCCTTATGAGCGCAGTAGATCTTCCCACCCACAGACACAGACACATCACAAAACCTCTGGCGACCCCGGTCTTCATTCAAGAATTTGAGGAGATTGTGACTGTGCTGAGACATAGTGACACGTCGGCTCAGTGTGTTGGGGGCACTGGGGGCTTCTTTCGAGTGGAGAGATTGAGTACAGATCACAACAGTTCCACTTCTGGCCTCTTCACTGCTACTGACTGGGCACAGTGAGCTAGTTGGTTTCTTCATTTTACAATGTCCAAATAGATACAACTACACCTGTAATGAAGTCAAAGTTAATGTTCAAAGCATTTATTTTATTCACATGTTTGCAAGTATTAAAAGTCTTACATTATGCCATTTTCTGATCTATGCGATAATCTTATTTTCTCATCAAAAACATACCTGCAGTTCTGTTCTGTTTCTTTCACACAGCTGTCACACACAAACCCTGCATATTTAGACTGAGTTCTTCTCTCATACAAAAAGTAATCTGCTCCACTGTATTTTTAAAATCCATACGCCTTGACTAGAATCATTTGGATAATTTCAGCCCTGAAATTACCAATTTTTACTGAACTAAAGGTCAGAAGTAGTCATTAAATTGAAAACTACCACTTCGTGACATCATAAGGTGGAAAAGAGTATTTTGAGCTTTGGAGATGTAGACAGCGTAATAATGCAGTGTTACCTAAACATGTTTGAATGAAATTAAACACAATTCCAGGTATGTTTTTGATGAGGTAACAACATTATAAAATGGCTAAAAGCTAAAAGCAGTTCATCACAAATTTTAACTTAAAAATAAAAAACATTCATTTGTTTCTTTTTTTGTCCTAGTTACATGCGTAAAGTAAACAACGTTAATTAAAGATGCTAACACATATTTAGAAATATCCTAACAGTAAAGAAATAATGTAGTGTCTTGATATACAGACATGCGAGACGTCTGCAGTTCTTAAACACGCTGCGTGGTCTCCGCAAAACCCGTGTCGTTTGTAAAGATCCCTATCGCCCTCAAGGACCCCTACAACACCACGGTGCTGCATTGACGGCGGATGGGCCCCGTCTGGGAGAGTGTTGACACACGACACGGCGGCGAGCACAAAAAACAGTCTAATACAAAAGGCTAACAGATTACCTACCTTCAACGTTATAGTCAACGCATGGAAACACGGCACAGTCCAGTCCACGTAGCTCATATGCAGAATAAGATGAGAAAATTCATTTTTTGGTCAAATTACAGATCCCCAACGCCTCACCCTGTTCTTACCGAAAATGTCACACGTACCAACAAACTGTCCGCCCATTGGTCGCTGTAGCATCTGCTCTGTTTAAAAAAAAAAAAAAAAAAAAAAATAAAAAGACTAAACAACTTTTTGGAATAACTTGATACTTTTTCACATTAAAATCATTGTTAGCCATAGTATATCACAATTCGATGGCTGGACAATAGATGCTTAAAACCTATCGCAAATAGGTTAGCTGCATTATGGGTAATGTAGTGAACGAGAAACCTGTGTAAGTCAGATAGACAGCTATTATGATAAGTCCATAGACTGTTTAAAGAAGTACATAGTTTATAGTATATTGCTGGGCTTCATATAAAATCACAACATTCTAACTGACCAATTGATTACATTGTATTTTCATTTCTTATGAAAATACAATATAATCACAAATCTTTCCAACCTCCCATTTGGGAGTAACATGACATGACACTCTAGAATTTGAAACCACTTGGACCACATGGAGCTACAAAAGTAGGCTGGTGTTTGTTTAGAACACCTTAATTGGCCATATTAACCATTTTCCCCTTGATGAATGTGAACTAAACCTTGAAGTTTCTTGATCTATAGTCCTTTTTCTGTTATTCATTTGTTTAGATTTGGTTAGGACTTCCACAAGTCCACTCATTAACTGGCCAGGTTAAGTCAGGTCTGTCACTCGTAACAATTTAGTCCATAAGATATTTTTAAAGTAACTTAAATGAGCTGAACCTTGAACCCTACCTGCTAGCGCATGTAAAGTGTAAGACACTGTAAGTGCATTAGCTTAATCCTTTATCTGGCTCACAGCACTCTGTGAACACGTTTCATTGTCCACATGCATGCAAGGGAAGCAGGCTGAAGATGGCCAATGCTGGTTGCCTATTAGTTAAAAAGTAGGTTTAGTTTGCTGTAAAATGTTGAAAAAATGCAGTGGCTAGGAGTGCACTTTTTGATTTTATTGGTTCTTTACACAGGTAAGTTCACTTTAACAGACATTACATATTGTCTGTCCTTTGTTTGAACATGCTGTAACTCTTCAACTGACCTAAAATAATAATTATACAGTATTTTCTAAATTATAAGTGAATTGCTTTCTTTTTTCAGGCACTTTCTCAAAAGAGAGTAAGCCTACTGGTTGTGAACAGCAGCCATGCCAAAATGGAGGGACTTGTGAAAACCACAAAGAAGGTTTCCGGTGCCTTTGCTCCCAACAGAGCCAAAATGGACGCCTTTATGGAGGACAGGACTGCACAGTTGCACTTTTAGGCTGTGATGATAACCAGTGTGCGAATGGTGGAATATGTACACCTCAGCTTGTCGATGGTGAACACTCTTTCTCATGCTTTTGTATGGGTGGCTTCACAGGCCCAATGTGCCAAACACAAACTGTGTTCTCCTTTGAATCACCGGGACATATTTCCATAGAGATTCCAGACCTACAAGTTCCTGTCAATGTAACCTTTAGCTTTAAGACAGATAGAGAGGTGGGGACTCTGCTGCAACACAGAGTGGATAGTTTCTTTCTCAGCATTGAACTTGTGGATGGACATCTCTGTCTTAAAAGTTGGAGATATGGTGAATCCAACACTTTACTTCAGAGGCTACCTAATTATCTATCTGATGATACTTGGCACACAGTGGAGGCATCGCTGGGTGGTTTATTCAGCCTGATGCAGCTGCTCTGCTCTGGGGCCAACTGCTCCAGACAAGCTTATCCTGAGCTCATAGTGCTAGAGCGCACCTCTGCCTCCATACAACTACAACCTCTTCTCTATAGCCTCACTATTGGAGCAGTCCATGACATCTGGGGGGACAATAGTGAAGCCCAGTTTCCTACAGCTTTTCTGGGATGCTTCAGGGATGTTTCTGTAAACTCAAAGCTGGTGGTCCCAACTTCAGCAACTAATGATTTTCAGACAAATATTACTCTAGGTTGTAGCAACAAAGACAAATGTGCTGAGAGCCCATGTCGAAACCGAGGCCGCTGTAAAAGCCAAAGGTGGAGGAGCTATATCTGTGAGTGCCACAGACCCTATGAAGGCACGAACTGTGAACAAGGTAATGCATAACATTTATAAGATTAGCACAATCTTTAGAATTGTGCATGCATAAAACCCTACAGGGAACCTTCAACTGTTTCTGAGATTTTTTGAGGCTGTTTCTTAGATTTCCTCTTGTCTGTCTAATTATGCTGATAGGCCTGCAACTAAACATGTACACAATAAAGCCATGTTACACTAATTAAGATTTATCACAGGGCTTCAAAGAACTAATCAAAGACAGGCTGTATTAGATCTAATCTCTTCAGTCTAGGAACCAATACAAGATGCTTGGAAGACGAATGTTGCCAGTTGGACTGCAAATGAGCTTAGTCCTCTAAAATAGCACAGAATACTGAGTCGTATTTGTCCAAAGTATTTAGCCACACCTGGGCAGGGAGCTTTAAAAATGTGTTTAATTAGCTGACCTGGTCTATCCGCACAAATGACAGCTTTTAGACCACGCCATATGACAAAGAGATGACTGTTTAAGTACTTCTTGACATAGTTTTTAAGAATCGTTGCAGATTCATGTAAATGATAATAAGTTATGGGTGGTAATAAAAACCTGTATTAGGCCTATTCCTTAACCTGACCAGCCCTCCTTTTTTATTTTCCACAAGTTACATTTTAGAGTCCATGTAGCGTCTAACTGTCTCCACTTTTCTTCTATTACAGAATATGTTACAGCACGGTTTGGAAACAAAGAACAACTAAGTTATGCCATTTTTTTATTGGCTGATGATCTAGGAGACACTTTGACTGTATCCATGTTTGTCCGCACCAGACAGGCCAGTGGCCTGCTCCTCATCCTGGCCAACAGTACGAGCCAGTACCTCCGTATATGGCTGGATGGTGGCAGAGTTCAGGTCCAAATCAACAACTTTGAGAGCCTTGGGGGTCAGACTGTCATCAGTGATGGACATTTCCATTTACTGACAATAAAACTGGAAGGAACAACCGCCAGATTGTTTCAGTCAGTCCAGAATCAGGGTTCTACAACCATTCGGCAGATTCAGGCCAGTGAGGGAGATATTGTTTATGTTGGAGGTCTCACAGACCCAAGGGCTAGTGCCTCCTTTGGTGGCTACTTCAAAGGCTGTGTTCAAGATCTGAGGGTTAACAGCAAACGACTGCAGTTCTATCCAATAGCAGCTCAAGTTGAGTCCTACAATCTCCAGCAACTCAACAATGTGCAACAAGGATGCGACAGTGACAACGCATGTGCTGTAAGTGACTTGCAACATTTATCTCAATATAACACATACAGTATTAAGTTAGTTGGTGTGATCCTGTGATTTTCACAGGTCAATCCCTGTCTTAATAGTGGGGTGTGCTACTCCATGTGGGACGATTTCTTGTGCACTTGTCCCCCTAACACGGCAGGACGTCGCTGTGAAGAGGTGAAATGGTGTGAAATGTCTCCGTGCCCTGCCTCAGCCATTTGCCTATCACACCGTCAGGGATTTGACTGTGAGTGTTAGATTAAAACAAATGCTTTCAAGAGTTAAAGTGAGGGTACATCTTTTGATCAATGCTCTATGAAAATGTTTTACTTATTTATTTATTTGTTGCAGGTTTATCCAACATCACAATTCGAATTGGAAACAGCCCTTTGCATTACAGAGGCAACAGCAATATCAAGCGCATCCTGAACAATGTCTCTATAAGTTTCCGAACAAGACAGCCTGTTGCCACATTACTGTACACACAAAAGGGCTCAGATGTTCTCACTGTGTCTTTAATAGATTCCCAGCTGACAGTGCTGCTGGTTGGAGCTGACCAGAACATTAGTTTGGTGCACAGCATGGGTCCAGTTAGTGATGGTCTGTGGCATACAGTGGAGCTGAAGATGGAGACAGCCACACTCCAGACCCCTCTGTGGGTCCTGGCTCTAGATGGAAATAAAATGGCAATAGAACGGTTCAGAATACCTCCACATGCACTGGATTTTCTCAGAGAAGATGCAGACATTTTCCTCGGCAGCATGAATGCTGCTAGCATTAACATGTCTGGGTGTTTGGGTCCGGTGGAGATTGGGGGTCTTTTCCTTCCTTTCCACATGGACACTGAGCTCAATATTCCTAGACCACAGCTAGAGCAGTTTATGAGAGTTGACAGTGGCAGAGTTACTTTACAATATGGCTGCTGGGGAGCTAGGGTTTGTGAGCCCAGCCCTTGTCAGAACAGTGGTGCTTGTGAAGATGTCTTTGACCTGTACCAGTGCACTTGTTCATCTGAGTGGACAGGGCTCCAGTGCCAGGACCCTACAGACAGGTGCCTCTCCAAACCCTGCCTGTTTGGAAACTGTACCAGCCTTCCAGGCGAGTACAAGTGTGACTGTGAACCAGGATACAGGGGAGGCCAGTGTGAGCTGGAAGTCGACCTTTGTGAAAACAACAACTGTAGTAATGGTGCTACTTGTCTGAAGAGCTTACAGAGATATGCATGTCTCTGCCCTCAGAACCTGACAGGACAATACTGCGAGTATGTTATGTTTACTCATATCTGTAGAAAAGGAAATATTTAATTACTTATTTTAAATTAAACTGATTAAATTGTTTCTTTGACAGTGAGAAGCTTCCAGAAATTCCATGGTACATTGTGACAAAACCGTAAGACTTTTTATATTGTACTATACTATACTATACTACAAAGGCATGTTTTTAAAAATATTTTTGTGTTCCTAGACTTCCTCAGCTCCGTACGTCCGCTTGCATTGGCACACGCTGGAACTACAGTTGCTTCAATGGAGGAAACTGCTCCAATGAAGACAATTCTTGCCTTTGTTTGCCTGGTTTTACTGGAGAGTGGTAAGACATTTGGCTTCAGTCTATGGCATATTGTTGTAAAGAGTTAGACTGTATAGTGGAAAAGGAAAAAAAAAAGTAATTCAAATTTTCTAAAATTCTTTTGTTATTTTTCTTTAGGTGTGAGAAGGATGTGGATGAATGTGCCTCTGGGCCATGCATGAACGGAGGCTTCTGTCTTAACTACATCAACAGTTTTGAGTGTGTGTGTGATCAGAACTTCTCTGGTATCACCTGCCAAATCGACGTCAGTGACTTCTACCTGTATGTGTTCCTGGGACTGTGGCAGAACATATTCCAGCTTCTGTCCTACCTTGTAATGCGCCTCGACGACGGCCCGGAGGTGGAGTGGGGCTTTCAAATGGACTAGAGATTAGTTACTTACCTAATAAATGTAATTGTTAAGAGAATACACATTTTGATGAAACCACAAGACACATAATTGAGCTACATTAAAATGTTGTTTTTTTAGTTGCAGTTTCCATAGTTCACTTGTGCCTTCTGCTCCATATTCAATGTGGAACATTATCCTGTTGTGGAACAAAATCATGTATCTCTTGATGATAAATAATTAATCTATTTGTGAAGCCCGATGACTGTTTGGAATACAGCCAAAGTTTATTCTTGATACAGCAGATATGAACAGGGCTTAGGCCTACCTTGGCCAGAGATCAACAGCCTCTGGCGAGTCTCCTCTCTCCAGTCACCCCTTCTCTCTATCTCCCGAGTATCTCCCCCCAGAGCCTCCCCTTCAGTGCATCTCCCCCAAAAGCATCCCCTCTGAGTATTTATACAGAAATACAAGTTACATACATATCAAAGCAGAATGACTTTTGTTTCACAAACTTTTGCTAATCAACTAATTAATTTAATTAACTTACAACTAACTTCCATTTAAGGACAGGTAGTACAACAAAGGGCTCCCTAGGGTGGAGACAGTTGTGTCTGCTGAGCCTTTACACATGTTAATGACTGGTCTTGTCTCAGGTAGTAATTACATTCGTTTACACAAAGACACATTGAGAGAAATCTTCTCTTCACAGTATACATTTCCACCACAATCTTCTAGAATACTAGCTGCATGTAAACATTTAAATGGGATATTCTGTTTGTAGGCTCTGTATGCATAGCAATGTATATATAATATATCATTCTATTATCCTAAAACGTGTGGGCATGTGTGTTTTTCAACTCAACAATTTATTAAACCATCAAACAGATTAAATCAAACCTGTTCTGGACATCAAATTCTAATAAATCAACATACAGCATAAAACATACAATATGTGATGAAAGGCTGCCTTCAAAAACAGTGTAAACTGTAAACAAATCATAACTTGTTCACTGCTTATAACCATAGACTGTATAAGAAATGACAAAACATCTTTATCAACTAGCTGCAATATACATTTTGTGCACCTACTTCATACAAAGGTTGGATGAGTATTTGAACAATTCTTAACACTGCAGCTTACACTCACAGAGCTCTTTGTAGATTCTCTTTCGTATCTTTGGTATATCCCCTTGAGAAAAGTGCAGAGGTGCAGACAGTGTGAGGCATCTAGAATACTGAGAAATGATAGCATTCATTACCAACAATGGACAAACAAATAAATTACTTCAACTGCATGAGTCGGCAACTAACCTCTAATACAAATACGCCACAATCATTCTCAGTAGTTTGTTGTGGAATTTCCTAACATGGACAGTAGATGGAGACAAAACACCAGATTAATACAAATAAAACTTGAGATGCAAAAGCTCATTTCAAAACTAGAGAGAAATGTCCACCTCAGCCAAAGACACTGTCCAGCCTTCTTCAAATTCTGTTTGCTTCTTCTCTTTTGCTTTTTTTAACAAGTATTTCAGAATGGGCTGTTGAAATGATACCACTTCAGTTTGTTATGTTTGTATGTAAAATTAATAAGGTTTGTTTTTTTTGTTTTTACCCTCGCTACTTTCTCGACACCAATTCCTTGGGAGTCATACACGCAAACTTTCTTCTTAACAAAGTCTGCGGTCACTAGACACCAATGAACCTTGAGGTGTACAGGCACCAGAACCAAACGTTTTGAAAACAAATCAACCTTGTAGAAAGAAATATATAAGTTAATTGATGTATGTTATAAGTAATCAGATAGTTACATTACAATGACATAAGGCCCACCTGCTTTGTCCACCTCTTGACCCCTTCATATCCCTTAGTTAAGAGTTGTCTGTGAAAAAAGCTGTTGAGAAAATGGACCTAATGTAGACAAAAAAAAAAAAACTTTAGTAAATACATCCAAAATAACACACACAAAATGTTAAAACTATTCATTATTCAGTGTTATAAGGCTTGGTACTTAGTATAGGTACTTAGTATATATAGTCTACTTTGTCTCTATTTTTTCACCTTATTTAATGCAATGCAAGTATTATCCAGGAAGTGTCAAAAGTGGTCTACTGCAAGGTATGATCTATTAACTTGTATTAATTTGTACAGGGTTAAGCTGTATTGGTATACTGATGAAACCCTCACTTACCTCAGAGTGTGCAGAGTCCATTATAAGTTCCCCATACATGTTAATCACCTGTAACAAAAATACTGATATTATATTTCAAATGTTGCATAATAGATGGTTTTGTGTTAGTTTTTTTTCAAACCTGGTCATTTAACCAATTTGCATCGGCCAGTGTTGACAAGTCATCCAATGTCAGTATGTGCTTTTTGTATTTCACTTCAAAATAAGGGACAGTATTAAACATTTTTGCCAATTCTTCTATGGTTATCTCCAAAACCATGATTTCACTGTAAAGGTAAAAAATACATATTAGAGATATGCGCAGAGGAGCAAGCCAGAATAAAAATGCATTTCCATAAACATGTATCCTTACTAGTCCTTTAAGTCTTTGATAGATTCCTCTTTTTTAAGGTGTTTTAATAAATCACTCTTTTCTAGGGGAATAAAACTTCCATATTTTTTATGAAAGTCATTAAGAAACTCTAGACAAAGAAACAAAGAGACAAAGATATCAAATTGGTTAACTTTAGGCAATGATAAATACGAAGAGTGAAAAACAAAACAATTTAAATGGATGAGATTAAAGTTACCTCGAATATTCTTTGAGATAACTTTATGTGGATTTCCAGAGTTTACAGAAATATATTTGTTTTCTTTGGCAAGAACCACTTCAACGTCTGAGTTAAGTTCAAGCTCTACTGTGTGCAAACATTCACCAGGAACATTGTGGGAACATTTGGACAAATCTTTTTTAAAGTCAATAGAGTCATCAGAAACTTCTGCATCTGATGACACTGAATGAACATCATGATGATTTAAAATGCTACCATTGACGTTGCACATTTCAACCTTCTTTTCAGTAGTTCCATTGTCCATAACAGTAGGGGCCTGAAATGTTGTGAGATCTGTTGATGGTACCGTTTTGGTTTTCCTTATAACTCTTTTTGTTTTAAAAGGCATCCGTGGACGCAAGCCCTGAATGTTCTTAAGCATTCGTCCATTGATTCTGGATCTTCGCAAAATGGAAGCTTCGTTGCGTTTTTTCCACAACCAGAACTGTAACGTGGCATGTTTTTTGGAAGATGTACGATTCTTCTTTCTGCTGCGAAAACTCTTTTTCTTAATATGCTGCCTTGCCCAAACCATTTTTAACTTGGACATGGTGCAGGGTAATACAGGCCTTTTTTAATTCAAAGCTGTAAATCACACATTGTAGTTTCTTGCTTCTTCAGTCTCCAAGCTTTCACATTTCTTTTTAGTCAAGATAGTTTGGTGTATTGTTGTGAGCTGAAATAAACATAAAGCATAGTTAACATTTCTTTGCTGAATATTCTCCAGACTTTAATCGTACTTTTTGAACATGGTCTGCTGTTGTCCTTGGCAGTAACACTACAGTACTCGCAAACAAACTAACCATAGATTGTGAATAGTTTATGAAGTATACAGTCTATGCTCTCAACTCACCGGACGGCACTTTTAGCATCTCGCATTGCGTTTTTTGCAATCAAGTAAAACCACCCATGAAAACTACACATGGCAGCAAAAACTGTAAATACAACTTTTATGTCGCATATTGATTACGTCACATCTACACGTGACCTATCGAGACAATTTCCTTTTTTTTCTTTTCTTTTCTTCTTCTTTTTTTTTTTTAAAGGACAAATTGATTGTAAAAGTACTCAATTTTGTAATTTAAATGAAATCTATCATAAAAGGACAGATTCGGGAGGAGAGAAAAAATAAAACTCAGGTAAAAGACTTAGGTATAACATAAAGTTTATAAAAGTAAGCGACTTTGGAGTAATAAAGTAAAGACAGGATCACATTCTATTGGCTGATCTCATTTAATACAGATAGCGGTAGTAGCTAAAATCAATATAATTAAAATCAATTTCTTGTAATTCAGTGAGTTCGTGCATCTAGTCATGAGTAGAAATGATCAGGTCCAACATTTGTGAATTTAGCTATTGGATATTTCGTGGCAAAGTGCAATGTAATCAATAAGAGAATCCGGCTCTTTCCCCCATCTGGAAGTATGACATCACATTGTAGGATCTGAACACCACCAATATGCTGCTTCCTCAAAGTCAGGACTTGAACTCAAAACTCTAAAAACCCATGACAAACAGTAGGCTTTGTAAGTTACTTTTCAGCCCAGTAATAAAATGTAGTGGAGTCGAAAGTACATGTACCTCAAATAAGTAAAAAGTCTACCCACACAACCTTTTGTAACTTGGCCTTAAATGGCATGAGGTGAACTTGCAGCACCTGCCAAGACTGAACAAATAATTTGGACAAACATCCTCTTGACTGAACTGTCATTGAGGATTCATTGAATCTGTAGCTGATCATTCACTCTGTGACCCCGCTGAATTCACCTTTTTGAGATAATCTTTATTCACGCAACAGTCAGGAGAATGTTCATAATGTTTACCTTGGCTGTTGCCTCATGTTTGAAGTTGCCAATATATAACCCACAACAACCCATTTCTATGTCTAACATTCTGCTTATTTCACCAGTGATTGCTTCAATCTCCCCAAAACAATGCAGTGTTTAAGGTTTGTAGTGGCTTTGGGGCTGCTGCTGGGGACATGGGCCCACGTCAATGTGCTACGTCCAGAATGTGACTCGCCAGAGGCAGAGGAGGCTGCGGTAGCAGCCCAGAACTACCTAAATTCTCAGCACAGTCATGGCTACAAGTATGCACTCAATAGGATTGAGGATATCAAGATCATTTCCAAGGTACTACAGTATTTATAGTTATTGTTTTTTAATCAAAGTACAATGCTGACTGTCTCCATTAACTGTGTTTTTTCTTTAAATAGCCGGATGGAGACAATATCTATGTCATGGAGATTGACCTCCTAGAGACAGACTGTCATGTGTTGGACCCCACACCAATCTCAAACTGTACCGTTCGGCCCAAAGTACAAACAGTGAGAACTGTGATAAATTTACAATGAAAGAGATTAGACGTAGATTAGATTCAACAGTTTTTTGTTTGTTTGTTATACAGGCCGTGGAGGGAGACTGTGATGTGGTCTTAAAAAATATCAGTGGTGCTTTGACCGTTACAGCATTTAAGTGTAAAACAGAAGGTAAACTGCATTCTTTATACTGTAAGTTTACAAAAACTATATGCCAATTAATCTAAATTTTTTTTTAAATATATATATATCAGAGTCCAGAGAAGACATTTGTCTGGGTTGCCCCACCCTCCTCTCCCTAAACAACACCGATGCCCTGAACTTTGTTCAGGCCTCTTTGGGTACATTTAACAGAATCATAAAGAATCTCACTTTCTCCCTCCTGGAGGTTGGAAGGATGTCTTCACAGGTCAAAAACAAAAACACATTAAACTGTATTGACACTTTCTGGGGGATAACTCAAATAAAGCATTGTTTCAGGTTGTGTCCGGTGGGCCAATCTATTTAGCTGAATATGTTGTGGTGGAGGCCAACTGTACTGGAGATGTGTGTGAGCCCCTACACGATGCTACAGCTGTAAGTCCTATAACCACAAATATAGGGAATGATATACACATAATGTTTGAACATGATACCATCTCTCTGTAGACCCGTGGCATATGTAGTGCCAGAGGATTGGACTCAAAGCACACAATAGACTGCAAGATGTTCCCTAATTTGGTAAATTATACCAAAATCAGATATTCTATTTTATCCTTTCGTACGACCACACAGAACCTTCTTTGCTCTGTTGCTTTTTCAGATCACTGTGGTGGACAGCAACAGCACTGCACCTGTAGCACCAGCAGTGCATGTGCACACAGGGAACCTTTCACCAGGGCATGGTCTGCGTCACCACAAGCTGACAGCTCTCCATGATCCTCTGAGCCTCCTGTCGGCTGAGTCAGCAGAGTCAGCTGAGGTGGTGCCTGTAGCCCCCGCCCCAGCAGCAAACATCAGCCAGGCTGCACCCGTCGCAGATGCTGCTCATGCTGCTAATGCTGCTAATTCTGCAGACGCTGCTCCTGCCACAGACTCAGCTTCAGATTCTTCAAACAGTATGCAACACCATGGAATTCTGTTCAAGAGGGATGTAGCTGCAGTGATTCCTGACACCCCTGCTGCTAAGGCTGCCCCAGTACCTCTTGTGCCAGTCTGTCCAGGACGGGTTAGAATCTTTGACTGATTTAGGGCTGTAAAATAACAGCTGACAATACCTACAGCTTACAATGTTTTGTCACCTGTACATTTTATATTACAATTTGCCACCATTGTAAATGTTCAGTTAAAATCCTAAATGTTTACCCAAGTTGTTTCTCCTCCACTGTTTTGAAGTGCGTGTATGTATGGTCATTAAATATAATGGATGTTGTGAAGACCTTATCTTTTTTTTTTTTTTTTAAAAAGCCCAATCCTCACATTTAACTATGAAGACAATTGCAAAACACCACTGTTTGACATCGGTAAACAATGTAGTCAATGACTTTAATGAACTCACTGACTGCTAAACTAGTCACAGCAACATGCCCTTTAAAATATCAAGATATACATCTCAATACTTACAATACTAACCAACACTCTTAAGTATAAATATGTAAACAAAAGTTTTACGTAGTTTTTTTTATTATTTACATTGCTTTTAATATACAAATTATACAGACATCACAGGCACCTTCATTCCTGAAAGACACACAATGTTAGTCACACACTACATATAAAATTAAATTACAGAAATTAAAAGGATATTACATACATTTCCTTTGTTGTAATCTTTCAGGTGTAGTTTTAAAAAAGGACCATTAGGAAGCATTATGCTGTGAAGTCCTATGCCTGTAACCAAAAGGTGAGAAAGGTCTCTGGGAAAATCTTACAGGCTTGTCAACAGTAGGCTTCCCTCTGACAGAAGGGTCCTGAGACAAAGGTGAATTAGGGCCAGCAGAGGAAGACATTTGTGGCATGTCTCCCGGAGTTAGGTCAGCATTACCAGAATTTTCACTCTCCAGCCTTTTAGAGTCTTTAAATTCCTCTTTGAGATTTAAAAACTGATTTGGGAAATTACCATTAAGATTTTGACCCGAAAGCACAGTGTTGCCACTCTCCCTGCCTGGTGGACCTTGTTGAAGGAGGACATAGCCCTTTGGTTGAGAGAAAAAGCTCTCCGTCTCTCTACGTTTGGCTGTTCTCAAGGCTTCAGCAGGCTGGGGTTTAGCCAAGTTGTCCTGTTCTTGAAGAGCATGATAAGGAACCAATGGAGGCTCCTGCTGACTATGGAAAACCAAACTTGCTGGTCCTTTCACATCAGCATTGGCATTGTTAACTGGCTGAATTACATACTGATGAATCCTAGACAAAAGGGTTGCTGGGTTCACATTTGGGCCATCAGACTGTGAAGACTGCACATTATAGGGTAAATACATGTTTGTTGGAGGCTCTGGGTCAAAATATTCAGAGTAATGTAAAGGAGCTCCATTTTGAGGTTCAGGATTATGGTTTTGATGGTTCCAGAGACTAGCATGGTTCCTATAGGGGAGATATGCATTTGGATCAAAGTGATGAGTAGCAGGTTGCAGATCTGTTTGCTCATGAGGCTTGTTTTCAGACTCTGCAGAAGGATTGCCCTCTAGTGGTTGGTTGTATATGTGCCTTTCATATAGTCCTTGGAGTGGATACAACTGTGGTGATAAAAGTGCATTAGTGAAGGCTGTGCGGCTTGGAGGGGCAGGTGCTTCCTGGGGACTTTGTGATGAGGCATAGACAAAGTTAGGTCTTAATCCATTTAGGAACTGAATAGGATAAAGAAACTGAGGATTTGAATTACCATTTTGCTCTTGTGGAACAAAATGGTACGTGTGATGATGGAAAGCAATTTGTGGACAGCAATTAGGAAGTCCGAGTTGGCAGTACTGAGGACAGTCTACTGGTAGTCTAGTTTCAGGTTTAGCATTTTGTGGGTATATAACTACTGTACCTGGACGTGAGATGGGAGGGTCTTGTGGTTTTTGTGCAGCAGGTGTGGGGGTAGTGGTTGTGTGAGGTGGGTGCTGGGAAGGAAGAGGGTAGTTGTATGGACCAAATAGCTGATACTGTTGAATGGTTGCTGGTGGACTGGCAGCAGTTGTAGTAATTGGCGACTGCTCTGTGGGATAGTAAAAAGGGTATAGGTAAACAGGAGGAACTTCTGTATCTGGTGGTGCAGCGGGCTCAGGAGCTGCAGTGGATTTCACTGGATCTTGTGGATAATAAAATGGATAGGTCAGGTGAGGCTCGGGCACATACCACTCTGGATAGTAAAGCTGAATTACATCCACTGAGGGGTTTTCAGGCTGTGGTGGCTGTTCTGGTATGGGGGGCATATTAGGATAGAACATGGGATAATAGTAATGTCCCAGATTTTCATCCAAGTCAGGGGGCACACTCCCTGGGTTTTGCTTTTCGGGTAGATGTTGCCCTGGGTACACCGGATAAAATGGTTGTCCAACCACCTTATCGTCGGCTGGTTGGGGAACTGCTGGCTGAACAGCTTCTGGTTGTGGCGTGTTCCAGTGGACAGGGTAAAACTGGTTCCATGTAAGGCTTGGGGAAGGTGGTAAAGGATATTCTGGGACCTGGGGACTGGTTCTCACATTTTGAGTGGGAGCAAGTATAGAAGGAAGTCCAACATCCATCATTACTTTAGAAGAGTCAGCTGAAGTCAGTGAGGGGCAAAAGACCTTGACTTCATCATCCCTTAGCAATCCAATGCTGTACATTTCATCCTAAAAATAAAGTGTGATAATTAAGTGTCTGTTCATTTATGGCATTTCAATCAAACAGCTCTTAAATCCAAAATAATGTACCTTTTTTCCCATGCAGGGTTTATAAGAAATTGAGATGGTAATGCCCTCTGGATGTTCAACTGCTCCTAGACCACACCTAGGTGAGGCTTTCATCAGTGGCTCCCAGTTCCCATTCACTGAGGAAGACTGCACATTAACACAACTTAAGACTTTAAAGGATAAGTGATAGAAACACTTACAGTTCACTTTTATTTCAGAAAGCCCTGAAGTCCAATCAGTTTTTACTACCATTCCCTCGGAGTGGCAGGTCACCATAGGAGGGTTAGAAGATGAGGTTAATGAAGGCTGACTCATAGGGCAGGACATTTGCACTGGTAATCCCAACCAACGCAGTGGAAGCACGTAACGGGACTCCTAAAGTCAAAACAAGTGTATTAACACAGAAGCGCCATATTTTAGAAAAGCAAACAAAGACTATTACTTACTTCAAAAATAACAAAGCAACCATCATAAGGGGCCACCATAACTAGATCTCGACGTGTTGAGCTGACCTTGTAGCCACAGCTCTTGGGCAATTTGGACAAAGAAAGAGGAGAAAGATCACCTGGGGGGAAAAAAAAAAAAAGTAAAAAAAAAAAAAAAAAAATTTTCACCTCAACCACAAATGTCAATAGTTTACCCCGATCCACAAAAAGTAGAGAGCCTGGTTTGGAGTCAGCATTTTGTACTTGAAGCCTCATGTTGCTTCCAGAGCAATCCACTGTTGGCTGCATTTTCAAAAGTCGTTCCACTGCAGTGTTATCATATCTTGGAAAGCCATGTTCATGTACTGTGTGGAGCCCAGGAACCTCCCAGGCTGATGAGTAAGAAATGGTAAGAAGTTTATAATAATGGAAGGTACTGCCTGTCCATGTTACCATACCACTTACTCATGTCCGATTGATAATCCAAGTCAACATCTTCTGTTTCCTTTGATTTGCCACGTTGTTCAGTTTTCAGTCCAATTAACAGCTTCCCATGGTGCCAGTGAGATATTTTGCTGACAGACATACTATTTTCTTGGAGTTCCTTTTTTGTAAAATTTGTACTTTGACAAAAAGAAGATAATAGAAGGAGCCCTAAAGATAATACAACTGCACTCTTCCTGTTGTTGCTACACGCCATTGGTGCAATGAAATAATAAAACAAAAACAAACCACAGCAAACAAACGTCTCAATAGTGAACCACTGGAACTGGATAGTCTGACTGAAGGCCAGACTTAAAGAGCTCTCACTATGGCAGGTGCTGCTTATGAATCAATTAGGAAGAGGAAGTGGCGCCTCCACCCTCTCCAGTCAGCCAATCAGCATGCTGTCTAGTGTTTCTAATATGAGGGATGCTGAATTATCAATTTAGGTCGAAAACAGTATTTTACCTGAAGAAATTATTAGAGATAGTTTGCTAATTTTTCCAACTAGCATGATAAAGATAGTAAATAAGTATGTGTGAAAAATACATTGATTCATAATTGTGTAAAATGTTATTTGCATATTTAACTAGAATGCTTAACTGAAAATTAGAAATTAGAATTGTTGCCTTCTTTAATTTATTTTACATTTCATTCTATACAAAGTTTATTACTGTTGTTGCACTTATTGTGGCTACAGATAAAAAGCCAACAATAACTACTATCATGGTTACACAATTTGTCTTAAAAAGAAATGCACAAGACAACGTTTTAATGTTCTTCTTCCAACCAACACCATTTCAATATGTTTAGTGTACAGAGCATCATTTAATTTTTTAAATATACTTCTAAGCACCGTACTATGACAATTTGTGAATACATTTTTTATGTCTAAAACACAAAGAAGTCCTTGATGTTAAAGGCCAACAGCCAGTTTTACTGTCAAAATGCATCAATAGTGTATTCAAATGACAATGCTGAACAGCTAGTCAATGATATGAAGCCAAACTCAAAATTAGTGTGTACAAGTAGTGTTAATCTACACAGGTGATTAAAAGTTATGCAACCACCTCAAGAAGAAAAAAGTGAACTGCTGATTTACACAAATGCAAAAACAAATGGACCAGTCCCAAATGTCCATTTCAGAGCTGCAGGTTGTGGCTTTGAAATCTTGGTAATGTTGATCTCAACACAACAGTCAAACAAGGCCAACACTACATCAACTTTGAGCACATTCATTTACAACAGTAATATGATGTTATGGAGTAGGACTCTGAGGGGGAGGGTTTAGTACACACAAAGAGGAGTGGCCAGTTATTTAGAATATGGGGGGTGATGGCTGTCAAGATCTTTGTTTTGGCTGAATGTCTTGCTTAAAAAATTATTTCAGAACTGAGAACATGCAACTTTAATGCCATGCTAATGAAAAAAAAACTAAATTTGGCATCCCTGTTCAACTATTTAAAGTGTACAATTGGTACATGTCCCTCACATGAGTGACATTATACAAGGCTTATTCAAATCGGTTTCCCACTTTTATTACACAGTGTTTGATGGACCGCATGCCATTACGGAAGTTCCAAAAACAAGAAGTGTTAAACCTGGAACACTTAAACAAAAATTGTGGATGATAACAAAGTTCTTCATATAAAAAGTTGACTGGGACACCACAACATAGAAGTCAGTGTGGAATATTGGGTCGGTTTCTATGCTGCTTGAAAGATGGTTAATATCCAGACTTCCTCAGGTACTCTGCCATTGTGTGTGCTTTCAGATTAAGATTTCCACAATGGAGACCTCCTTTCCCATGACAAAAAAAAAATAAAAAATACTGGAGGATACTGGAGGAGAAAAAGAGAAATTAACAAAATGGAAGAGTCTCCCCCTTTCAGAGAACCATGGGGGACCCGAGATGACAGTCTTACCACTCCCCATAGCTATTAAAAGTTTCCATGACATTTGACTGCTT